TAAGAAGTTAAAAAGCTTGAATTAGTGGTTATCCAGTTTATTTTAATAAAAAGAAAATCCTTAAATAACATCTCTAATTTTGCTCCATCTCCAATTAACATCCCCACCCAGAAAAACGCGTGAGCAAAGCAACCAAAGAGAGTTGATGGGAAAATGCTGGCGCCAACGCGCAATCGCTGCTTAATGCTAATTCTCAAACTTTCAGTCAAATTCTTTCTGATCAATCATTTAGGTAAGATTAGGCCTTTCTGAGTATGTACAACAAAGAAGAAAAAAAAAGGTAAAAAAATTCCAGCTAATTTACTCCAGGCTGCAGTCTTTCCCTCTTGTCGGTTCAATTAAACGAAGATTAAAATGAAAAAACGACGTACGTATCTATCAAGATGGCAGAAAGCTACATTCTACATATTATTCGCAACATTTATTCTCCCACGCGCTAGAAAAACGCGTGCAGTTCTGTGTCCTTCTGTCGGTGATAATGAGCCTTATTACAAGCTAGGTGCTGCACTTGTGATTCTCGTGCAAAATTATTTACACGAAACAAAATACCACTACTACTAGGCAACCACAACAACTGCTTTTCAGATTTTTTTTTCCCCTTGTTGGATTATTATCTTTTATGTATTGATTAAATAATTAAATATTTTATATGATTATCATTATTCATTTAATTATAAATAAAAAATTAGTACTAACTTGTACTATTAATTTAGAAAGCATATAGTATAATAAATTAATCTCACTTGTATGGTATGTGAGTTTCTGTTACTGTTTTTAAAGTTTTTCCCTTCTTTTAATCGCCTTGCATAGCATTGGCAGAGGCGGAGGGAGGCCCCCTATCTTAAACTTTTAAAATTTTATAATTTTATCCTTATAAATATTAAATTTTTAATGTAATTATTTTATAAATATTATTTTCGTTTTTTCAAATATGAAATTTGGACTTTGTTTTGTTTTGTTTTTTCGGCTGAGACCATGTGCTACCAATAACTTATTTCAGTTGCCACTTTCAAAGTTTCGGATAGAATTTGAAGGGTTAGAAACAAGTAAGGATTAACTAATAATTAAGTTTAATGCCCCATCGTGCTTGTGAAACAAGCATAAGGACAAACTGTTTAAATGCTTACGGTTTTGAGTAAAAATAATTAACACAGAGTTTTTATGACGATGGCTACTTCACCTTAGAACAATATCATTCAGTCACGCAGGATAGACCATGGCATGATCGTGTAAGGATAATAGCAGGAATCAAATATATGATTTGTAAGTGTAACTGTTTCTTTTGTTTTTGTTAACGTGTCAAAATTAGCGTTTAACATAATGCATTTAATTGCAAAATTGGACTATTAGTATTCAATTGTCCGCATCAGTGCCAAAAATTTTCATACAATAACTAATGGCAGTGATTTTTTTTTTCCTTTTATTGTAAACAACAGAGAATATCCACTTTTTCCTATATCTACTCTTCTTATTATTGTACTTAATTCAGTAAAAAAAACTAAAAATAGGAAAAAGGTCATAATCACTCATGAGGTAAGCCCAAAATCTTGGCTAGCTCGAAGTTGCCATCTGGGCATGTGCAAGGAATAATGGAGACAAAACAATGTTCGAATACATATTACAATTTGTAAGTGTAACTATCACATTTAATTTTGTTTTCACTCTCCAACCATATAAAAATGGATTCATCTCATTTTTTGTTATTTTATATGATATCCAAAATTTTATATGGGGATGATTAAATTCAATCAAAAATGTCAAAAATAAGAAAAAATCATGATCACTCATGAGATATGTCCAAAATCTGGACTGCTTCGAAGCTGCCATCTGAGCATGTGCAAGGACTTAGTGGAGACGAAGCAATGTTCGAACACATATTGCAATTTGCAAGTGTAACTATCGTGTTCAATTTTCTCTCCACTCTCCAATTAAATAAAAATAGATTCATCCCATTTCTTGTTATCTTATATTGATAATATGACAAAATTTATCTCATGGAAGTATTCACAAGTTAAATCGATGGACATATTCTTCAATTATATGTCACAGTCTAAACAAAATTAGAATACAACTTTATGTTTTAACCAGTCAGTAACATGTTTCCTTTTCGTTGACAAAGATTTATTTTTTTTTGTGTTAGCAATTATCGAAATTAATGCTCTTTCATTGTTCCGATAATGAAGTGTCATATCCTCTTTAACTCCTAAACAGTGGGAAACATTTCGGTGTTTCAAACTTTATGTTGGACGACCTAATCTAAAATTTATATTTGTAACTCGTTTGATCATAGGGCATTAAAAAGAGAAAATGAAATGGTTTATATTTATAATTTTGTACAATATGAATGAAGCGAGACAAAATAAAATAAGGGAGGTTGTCTATTTTATTCATTTTTTATCATAATTGTAATTTCTCATGATATGCAAAATCAGAAGAGAGATAATAGGATATTTATGAGTCTTAAGCAATATAAGCACATTTTTTTAATATTTATCCTTTTATCACTTACAATATGCTATTATTAAATTACCTAATTTTCATTTTATCTCTTTTAATTGACAAAAGAAAGAAGAAGAAGAAGATATCTTTATTCATTTTTATTTCTAAATTTTTATTGATCATATAATTTTTCGTTATAGTTATAAGATTTTATCTGATATATAGATAAGAAATTAATTTTATTGAATCTCTTTTTATCAAATTTATGATTGACTTGGTTTGGAACTTTTTATTCATTATACATTTTAAAAATTGTAATCATATTAAACATTTATAATTATGTAATTATTATTTAAAAATAAATAAAATAAAAATATTTACGCACAGCACATTTTATAACGAATAATAGTACTTATAAATCTTTAATACGAAAAACACTAACAAAAAATAACAGTGAGAAATTCTTAATCTCTTACAAAGTTTTAAAATACTACTAGTGTTAATAGATAAAATTTATTAAAGTTGCTACAAAATCTCAGAAGATAAAGACAAGGTGACCGTCCCCCACTGACAGGGAAGGAAAACTAGAGATTCCTTCGGGATTGCAGCGTAGCCAAAAAGGCGCGTGGATAATTTGCACGATAAAGAAAGAAACTACAGAATATGATTTTTCATTTTTCTGTTTCGGGAAAAAAAAATAGAAAGAAAATACGATATAAAAGTTTTACCCACGTGAGCATCGAGACAGACAGCTCATTGGTGAGTGAGCCCACTCACATGACGATCATTCGAAGAACGTCATTCGCTCCACTAACGAAATCACCATTTCTCATTTTTGTTTATTAATTATTATGGCTCTTTTTGTATTCATATATATATATTTATTGACATGTGAATTTTACTTACTAACAATAGTAATTAATATTAATGTTAAAAAAATTCAATATACATTAAAATATTAGAGAAAATTAATTGGTTAAATTCTAAATTTTTTTATACAAGTTGGTTGGAAAGAGTAGCGTCAATATTGAACCGCATTGAACCAAAACGGCTGTTGGGTAATTTTGTATTCCAGTCTTGCTACAATCTCTACTATAGCCGTGGAAACTTCGTCATTTCCTAGAAAGTGATAGCGACGAGAGTGGGGCGGGGTGGTGTTAACTTTGATGGCATTGTTTGGCTCTGTTCACAGGTGGGACTGAGGGATTGGGGCCATATGTATTAATATGCACCGCACGTTGCCTTATCAACTTCGTTTTATCCAATAATACTACAACTAGTAAACCATTGATATAATATTAATTGTTTTGAAATGGACGGGGACAGCGCAAAATTAATACGTGTGTTATGCAAGGAGAATGCATTTTGAATAATGAAAAATCATCTTACTAATGCCACCATGAGAGTAGACAATTTATGTAGCCAAGTAATGAATTTTATACATATCTTTACAGGTTAAAACTATACCATGATATAGTTATATCATTTCATAATTGATAAACACATAATCTATAAATGTAGATATTATTTAAATTGTAATTATCTGTATAAAAAATAAAATATATAGCTCGTAGATTAACTTGAGTATTAATAGATTGTGTTTTCTGTGATTTTTTTTGGTGCAAATCAATTTACATTGAAGATAAAGATTATAACTTTGGAAACATGTTTTATCCTGTTACTATCATTTGTAGATTACAGCTCATAAGGTTTCCTAACCTGTAAAAGATTAGATATACATTATCACTAACCAACGCGATCGTTGCTGCTGTTGTGCTTTCAATAAACGACAACATGTTCAAACCAACGCGTGTATGGGTGTATTTCATATGGAAATATACTAGGGGAAGAGTTTGATTGGTATTGGACAATATTCAATTACCAGTAAAAAGCAAAAAGTGTTAAATTTAGTTCTTAATTTAATTGAGAAAAAATATAATATCATTTATTTGTAGGTCAGTTTTAAAATTCATTGTTTCAAAAAAAAAAATTAATTCAAATTTTAAGTAAAAAATGAAAGAAAAGACAACAAAAGCAATTTTCATTTTCATTTCTTAAACTATTATGTAACTAATTAACTAATTTCGTGAAATATATAATTTAGTTTTAAATAGGAATATGGTAAATAAAATATATTTTCTAAAACTACAAAAACAATTAAAAATTTGGCATTTTTTGAGATTACTCAGCCAGTCTCCCGATCCAATATAAATTCCGCTCATCCGGATACAATCCCCTGCTCCAGACACCACCCCACACCTCCTTGCAACCTTCCACGTGTCCCTATCACCAATCGAGTACCAGCGGTGGCTACACCCACGAGTACGCTTTAATCCTGCCTCCTCATTTAATGTAGCTCTGTAAAAGAGTCACATCTTCTCTCTCTCCCTCCCTTTCATATCCCTCCTTTCCCACATATATACACCACATCCCCCCCTGCTTTTCCCTCGTCCTTTCTATCAATCTCCAGCTTTCTCCTTCTCTCTCTCTCTCTCTCTCTCTGTCTCTCCCCATTTCTCTCTTCCTTTCGCTTCTTATTTCCCTGCCACCTTCCGGCCTACGCTGCAAACACCAGCAAAAGATCACTAAAGAAACCGGTGCCGTTTGAAATGGCGACGAGAATGGATCTGGACGGGAAACCAATAAAGCCGATAACGATATGCATGATTGGAGCCGGAGGCTTCATAGGCTCTCACCTCTGCGAGAAGCTGATGGCTGAGACGCCGCACAAGGTGCTCGCCTTAGATGTTTACAATGACAAGATCAAGCACCTCCTCGAGCCTGACTCTCTCCCTTGGGCTGACCGTATCCAGTTCCACCGACTTAACATCAAGCACGATTCTAGGCTCGAAGGTCTTATCAAGATGGCAGATCTCGTAAGTTCTTGCCCTTCTTGCTGTCTCTTTTGCAACCATTGCTGTTTCCTTTTTTGGTGGTAACATTTGCTGGAGATCGCGGATTCGTTTGATTTCCTCTTCATTTCTGACTAAATGTGTTGGTTTATTTATTTTTTTGTTTCTTTAGTTTTTTGCGCTTTAATATGTTAGATCTGGTTTAATTCTGTTTTATTTCTGTGTGATTTTAAGTTTTTTCTTGAGCTAGTATTCTTTCATTGTTGTTTAAAAGTTTAGTTTTTCTAATTAGTTTGATGTTTTACTGATTTTCTTTTGATTTTTAAAATGTTCTTGCTAGATTTATGACGATTGATTTGGTTTTTATTGTTTTTGTTGCAATGTAGACCATAAATCTTGCGGCGATCTGTACTCCGGCAGATTATAATACGCGTCCGCTCGACACAATTTACAGCAACTTCATTGATGCACTTCCTGTGGTAAGCATTTCTGTAATAACGGTTTTATGTTTGGTGTCCTTGTTTTTTTGTTCTATTTTAGTTTAATGATATCGATGTTTGGTTGTTGCTGATGTTTTTGAGATCAAATTTGAAATTGATATGTGGCTTTTTGATGTGGATTTGTGGTTTGATAGGTGAAGTACTGTTCAGAGAACAACAAGCGTCTCATTCACTTCTCTACTTGTGAAGTGTATGGAAAAACCATTGGAAGCTTTCTTCCTAAAGATTCTCCTCTCCGTCAGGTAACCTTTCGTTTTCTCCTTTCTAATAATTTACTGAGTATCTTTTGAAAGAGAATTTATATCTATGCTTTGCTTGTAACAGGGCAGCATGTATGGTTTAGTGAAGATCTGTTGGTGGTATCTTTATTTTCAAGATTTATGGTTTATTGTTTGATGGTATATATATTTAATATTTAAGAAAAAGGATTGTAAAATTGGTATTGAGTTGAAATGGTAAGAAATATGGGTTTAAATGAATAAATCCAGATAATTGGATAGTGGCTAGGTGATTTGTATATCATTCTAACTAAACGTCCTTGAATTTTTACAACTTTCTGGGATTTGTCTTTGTATGATCAGCAGATGGTGGTCAACCCCACTTCTGACTGATCTTGTGCATCCAGTATTCACTTGGGCATGGATATTTGTGGGGGGTGGAGAGTTTTTAAGCGGTTGTTTGGCTCTATATAATAACAATTTACTATGGTAATTGAATGTTTTGTTAAGTCTTGTATGTCATAGTCGTATCAGTGAGTGGCTTATACTTTTTCATTTTACAAGGATGCACACAAGTATCAATTGGATTTACTTGTTTAAGAATTTGAAGTTTATGTTATTCCTAGAATGTCCTGCTGTTGAGCTTGTTGATTGATGAAAAGAGGTTAAAACAACCTCCAGTATGGAAGATAGAATTCCTGTACGGATCATTGATATGTTCTTTTATGGTGTATAAATTTTGTTATACATCATTTGTTTCATCTGGCTTGATGTTGTTAGTAATGATTACCATACAACATTGAGCATAGGAAGCTGTCTTGTTTTGGTTTTATTTGTACTAAACTTAGGGGTCTTGGGAAAAGCTCTTTTGTTTATTCATGTGCTTCATGAGGCGGAAATGTTAAAACTAGGTACTACTCTCTTTTTGCACAGAGTTTTGAGCATCCGAAATTCATGGCGTTGCTGAAATTGATTTAATATGCTCCCTGTTATGCTATTGTTTCTTTTAACCCCTCCTTTATAGGTGATGTCAAAATTCTATTTGTTATTTCACATTGTTTAAAATCTTTAACTCATCCCCGTAATTGATGTGATAGGATCCTGCCTACTATGTTCTTAAGGAAGATGAATCACCCTGCATTTTTGGCTCAATCGAGAAGCAGAGGTGGTCATATGCATGTGCTAAGCAATTGATTGAGAGGCTCATTTATGGTTAGCATCTTGTGAAATGATCTGGCCCCTATTAGATGCTTTAAACATAATTTACTAACTTCCTTTCTTATCCATTGCAGCTGAGGGGGCAGAGAATGGCCTTGAGTTCACCATTGTGAGACCTTTTAACTGGATTGGACCTAGGATGGATTTCATCCCTGGCATTGATGGTCCGAGTGAGGGTGTTCCAAGAGTTCTGGCGTGCTTTAGTAATGTTAGTTGAACTTATTTCACAGTTCTAGGGAATGGCCTAGAATGCCATCTCTAATTTATTTTTTCAAATTTTTGATGGTCTTTAGTTCTAACAATAAGTTTGTCATTTTATTGGTCAGAATCTCCTACGCCGTGAGCCACTTAAGCTTGTGGACGGTGGCCAATCTCAGAGAACTTTTGTTTACATAAAGGATGCTATTGAAGCTGTCCTCTTGATGACTGTGCGTAATAACTCTCCTTACTCTCTCTTCCTCACCTACCTCGCCCTCCCTCCCTTCCCTATCCCATATACGGCCAACCACACAAAGGAACTAAACTAGTGGTTTCTTTATACAGGAAAACCCAGACAGGGCTAATGGACATATTTTCAATGTGGGCAATCCAAACAATGAAGTTACAGTTAGGCAACTTGCTGAAATGATGACCGAGGTGAAGGACATGATTGATGATATATAATTTCTATTGTTCATACTATTATTTTTGTTTATGGTGATGTATGTGATCATATGTAATTTGTAAGTGTTTGCACTTGGACTCTTCAGGTCTATACCAAGGTTAGTGGAGAACCTTCTCTGGAGGTGCCAACAATTGACATCAGCTCCAAAGAATTTTATGGCGAGGGATATGATGATAGTGACAAGAGAATTCCAGACATGACCATAATAAATAGACAACTTGGTATTTATCGTACTTCCCTTGGCTGTTCTCCTGATCTTTTGTTTTCTCCATAGGAGAAATTTGAGCATCTGATTATGGTTTAATAATGCCTCAGGTTGGAACCCCAAGACATCCCTTTGGGACTTGCTTGAATCGACCCTTACCTACCAACACAGGACCTATGCTGAAGCTATTAAGAAGTCCATCGCAAAACCGACAGCATCCTAAATGATGAGATGTTCAGACCACGCCTAAGAAAGGACTCATAAGAACGTGCTTGTTAGCAAATGTTTCAATTCTTTTTTTTTTTTTGGGAAGGAAGTCTTAAGTATATTTTAATTGTTGATTTTCCTTATATGCTAAAGTTTTTTGGTCTTCCCTGTGTCAGTAGTCAATAGCTCACTGTAGCTCAGGCAGCTATGTTCTCGGTATGGTACTATGTGAAGACATTAGATTCTACTAGGAAAGGTATTGTGCTAGTATTAATATTCCTTTAGAGCTTTGGGCTACAGCATGTTGGGGTTATTATACGAGGAAAGGAAATTAGTTATTGTTTTCTTGGGGGTTTGCCGGTTTGCCATTCCTCCATTTTGTCTCTCCTGGGCACAGTCTCAGGCTCATGTTTCCTAAATTATTATTTTATTATTTCACGCATGCTAGTTAAAAAGTTATGCACTACTAAAGAGCTGTTTGTCTCTTTCTTTTTCTTGGACTAAATTATGAGATTAATCCAGCAAGTCATAAAAACTGGAAACTTACTAGTAATTGTTTTGGAATGCTTCATGCTATATTTGTTAACATTTGTCAAATCGTTATTAGTTTAACTCTTTCAAATTTTCAATTTTTATGCCACCTTGTATGGTCTTTTAATTTCAGGATGAACTTTCATTTAAAAAGCCAATACGTTACGTTGACAAACTTCCATCTTGAGTAAGTGATTCTGTAACGTGGCTAACTTCAATCAAAGCCTGACTAGCTTTAGATTCTACCAAACTCCCGAGTTCGTATTGAAGTCCTTCAATTCTAGGGTTTTAACCCCTGGAAGTTTGAATTACTGCTAAAAGTCTGTGTTGGATATTGGCTTAGCAGAGTCAAAACAATCCTGCTTTTCAGCCATTTGGAGGGCATAAGAATCAGAGTAAAGATTTAAAGGATCTAGAGTCGGAATTGTTGTTTCACATTAAAGTGAGTTGATTCAAAGTTTTGCTCCCAATTTTTTTTTAGCAAAGATTGAATCTTGGTTGACAATGAAGGAGGCTTCTTTCCTTTTAGCCATTCAACAAATTCCTATATGTAAGTTGTTGAATTTATAACCTTGGCCTTTTCTTTTGACAAAATTATCTATAATTATTCTATTATAATCTGTATCTATCTGAGATTTACCTCTAATAATATGAAACATGAATTTTGGTAGAATCTTTTATTAACGTAAACAAATATATTTGTTCATCATATTTGTATATTGTCATTTAAAATATTTATTATAAATATTAATAAGATTCATCTTATATAGATAAAAATCTTAATTTTATTAAAAATTGAATTACATGGCTCGAAATTTTAAAATGAACAAAAATACAACTATTTACGTGCCAACAAATAGTAATTTGTTAGTAAAAATATGGATTCAGTGAATTCATTGATATGAGTAAATTGACTCGATTTTTTCACTTTATCAGCTTGCTCATGGACTCCAAAACTTTGGAGCGGTCACAGCAAATTCAGTGCCCATTCACAGGCCCAATGTACAACTAGTTACGGCCTTTTGGGATATGCCAACTGCTCCATTGGCCCAGATTCTCCCATGTCCCGAAGAGACTTCTCTTCCGATTCAACAGCGGCATTTCATCCTGCCAGTGCCAAGTTACAAACAGAAGGTAAAAGTCAGTTTAAAGCAAAAACGTCTAAACTTTAATGAGGAACAACATTTCTTCTTCAAATTGCACGGTCGACAGTCATGAAAAAGGAAAGAAAAGTACTACTGGTATTTGGTACTCAGTAGAATTACATATCATTTGTTAGAAAGAAACTTTAATCATTACCCCCATCCTTCAGATCTTCATTTATAGTTAATAAAAAAAAAAAAAAAGAAGAAGAAGAAAGTAAGCTGTTGAAGCAAAAGTGTGATTTTTGGATTACGTTAATTTGAAGAAATTGCTTTGGAATTGACTGACTGACAAGAATGGTGTCCGTTGCCACTGACTACACCACATAGTCACGTTTTCTTTCAGGGGCCTACTCAAATCATGAAAAATGTCCTCTCCTTCTCATGGCATGTGGTCATTCACCCATCCTTTTCACGTTTGTGCAAAGGGTCTGACCAGTTTACAATCAAAAGGAGGCTCGGAGTAGTGATCACGTGAAGAGAATTTAAGGGAAAGAAAATAGTAAAGGAAATATATAACAGATTGTATGTTGATGGTGTGCTAATAGGCATGATCAAGCTAGCTAGCTAGCTAGCCATTGCGCAAACCATCAAAAGTCACCTGGTAAGACTTTAATCCCATAATGTCTTAATCTAACAGTTAGCCTTTTCCTTTAGGGTAATGAGGTTTAAGACTAAAACAGTTCCAAACTTTTCTTCTTCACCTTTAACCTTTATATTAGAGAGATGAGAAGCTTTGCCTTTGATTGTGAGATGTGCAAAATGCTTCTACTTAGTCTATGGTAGAAATTTAAAAGGAGGAAAACGAAAACAACATTTTGGAATGAAACTTCTTGGTTAAAGACAAAAGAGAAAAGAACAAGCAATGAAACACAATCAACTTAAAGGTGATGTTGGACTTAGGACATAACTGGCCCATGCCCTTTTGTTAGTTAGAAAGCAATTTCCTCTGCATGGAACATTTCAGTCACTCTCACTGTCTAACGCCTGCAAGATTTTCTACTTGAAAGGGAAATATTAACCCTTTAATTTGATTTTTATATATGAAGTTGAATGTTGTAATAAAAATTTCACCATTCATTATTCATGAAATATATTTCTAGTCAGCAGCCCAATTCTACATCCTTTGAAATGGATTTGTTTGGCTGTATGCAGTTAGCATCAAAAGCCATTTCATCAGATGATGAAATTTTTAATAAAAATTCCGAGGTTGGAGCCTTAGTGGTTTTGTTTAATTTTTCGATGCCACCAATCGAAAAAGGAAGCAGAAAAGGTTGAATAAAGCAGTTTTTCCTTGGTTGACACTACTTCTCAAAAGATTCTACTTCTATGCTTGTTTTTCCCTTAGAAAAAGAGGAGCTGCCCCAAATAGAATATTAAAATAAGAAACTTCTTCATATATTTCCTGTCTTCCAACCAATTGACCATTACCCACTTCTGATCTTCATTGCATCATCATCAAGTTTGGTTGTTGAAAATCAAAGAGGGGATGGGCCGGGGCTGTCTTCTTTCAATTGCTTTGACTAGAGCAGCAAAATGTGATGCTTTTTATGGTGAATAGCTCCAATCAGGCAAAAGTTGCGGATATATATCCTTTATGAACATGTGTCCACCTGCCCTGGAATGATTTTGAAGCAAATTCCAAAACCAGTTCAGTGTCTGAAATATTCTGTAGAACTGAGATAGAATTTGCAGGAGGAGAGATTTGATCAGGGAAACAATGACAGCTCACCTTTCAGTTTTGCCATGCTTTGCCTATGTCACACTGTTTCAAAGAGGACCACTGCTCCAATTCATGCTCAGTTGCAGACAAATCAACATATTTACCAATTTTTCCCTGTTAGAAAAGGTCCAAAAGCATAAGGTGTGCATATTTTATGTCCTTAGTGGGCATTGAAAGCTAAAACTTATGCAATAGTTTCAGCTTATTTTATCAACTGAAAATTTTTTGAGCTGGAAAGAAAAGGACTTTGATTGCAATGTTGGACCCTTCTGATTGCAAGGAATCCACTTGGAGCCAATTCTAGTTTCAGCTCAATGATCTAGAAAAGCTGTTTATAAAGAACTTCACAGTAAAAATAATTCTGTAGAAATATTTGGTAAAAACCCATAGAATATATAAATAAACTTTTCTTCTGTGAAGTAATAATTTTGTAGCCAACTAGCACCTTCTTTCTTTATTATTTAGATTAAAAAACAAACTCTTTCACTTGAGTCCAAGCTAGTCTAAGAAAGAAAGTTAGAAAATAGTTATCTTTGGTGATACTGCAATTCAAGGGTATGCATCATTTTTCCTTTTTTCTAGAAAAACATACTATTATGTATCAAAAGGATCAAACTAAAGCTGAGTTATCATTTGAATGTACAAGGTGCATCACTCTATGCTGTAAATTACATGGTCTGTTTTGACCTGGCCTGACTAATAAAAAAAGGAAGTGAAATACTCCATAATGCATCATCATTGAGGTAATAATCCTAACCTAAACAGTGTATTCATCTGGTGATATCTGCATAGTTTATCACATGCACTTAGCTAGAAGCTTTTGTTTGGGCTAATTACTTGTCTCTTTGACTGTTAATTATTTTGAGCAAAGGCAAAAGCAAAATAAAAGTGGTGCTATATGACCAGCATATAGTATTGAAAAGGTTATTCTTTGTGGATTATTTGATGAAAAAGGTATTTTTTTTTTCAAGTTCCAAGCCTTGTTGCAAGGAGTAATTGCTATCTTTTATGTTCACCTCCTTCAACCCCAAGTCAAAACTTGAGTTCAGGATCTCAAATTTTCACTAGCTAGAAAGGAAAAGATCACAGTTCATGCTATTTTATTGTACTTTTCTCTTACCAAATTGCTATATTATTTCAGCTTAGCTATCTTTTCCTTGCTTCTATCTCATGACCTCTTGTGCTGCAGTCATGCCCCACTAATAAATGATTATTGAACCTACAATGGCAAGAAAATTAAGGCTTTTATCAAAGGCATTGGATAAAGACTTTAAATCCTGTGCTTGTGGCTTAAAGGTGGGGGAGGTTGAGACTTTTAAATATTTTTCCTGTTTCAAAGAGCATGTGAGTTATGATTAATATTTATAGCACAGGCTTCCTTTAGCTAACCCCTTCTCATCATTTTGGACAACCAGGCTAGCAATCACAACACAACCACTACATTGGTAATTTTGAACAAAAAATATGTTACTCACCTCACCTAATTTGCTAGCAAAATCATAAGTCTTCTTCTTCCTTTCTCTTTTTTCTAAAATGAGATAAAGAAGAAAAGGAAAATTTGAGTTAGACCAAATTAATAAATTGTAACCTTCCAACAGTATTTGTTTGGCTAGGGCAACTATATATCAGAATGTAATCATATTTTACAATACCTTAGAGGGAAAGCTTCAGACAAGTCAATTGAATCTGGGTACCAAATAATAAAATATTACCATTCTCTATTAAGCTTGTATACCTAATTTTTTACATTTTCATCAAAGATTCATCCAAAAGAAGATCATTTTAACTTGAGTTAATTTTTTTTTCTCTCAAACATCTAACATTTTGACCATCTGAACTAATTAGTTCAAATAACTGATACCAAGAACCTTTCATAATTGCTGAACTATTCCTATACAAACAATGCAGATTCAATTAGTTCAAATAAATTTGCATTGTCAAAAAGAAGAAAGAAAGAAAGAAAGATATATAGTCTAGGGGTAAAAGGCAATATGACTGCTTTAAGGTAGGTCATTGTAATACTCCCATTTGTTTTTAAATTTTAATGAGATAGATGATCACAGCCTTTGAACTGAACAACTCCCCATGATTGTTTAAGCAGTGGCAAGCCTTAACATCTTGACATTTTGTTGTACATGATTCCTGAAAGAGCATTTGCATGTGCACAAATCAAGTTCCAAGCATTTCACTGATCAGATTAAATTTATTTCTTGCACATTGCAGGCAAAATTTATTGATTCATTCTTCAGGTTGGTGGAGGTTGTTGGTTTCCACTGCAATGGCTGACAACAAAGAAGTGCCAAATCTGTTAAATGGCCATAAAAAGAAACAAAGTCAACTATTACTTCACAAGTAGTATTTGTTGGAAAAACTTAATTACTTATAGAGAACACACCTTTGATCCTTATAATCAATTACTAAAAACATGGGTTTTCTTTTTTGTATTGATTGGATCACATTGGTGACTTAGATTTTTCTAGTGTTCATGAATTTAATTATAATTATTTTCTTTAAGGAAGCTTTTGATCTTTTTTGTTTTTAGTATGGCATTTTACCTTTTGTTTTTCCATTGTACTACCAAATTAAAAAAACGTACTAAATAAAAAATTAAAAATTGATATTAATCTAAGTGTGAATATTATTGCAAATGATTGAAGCTAAATAAATAATTAGAAAAAAGTATAGTAAATCCAAGTGTGATTAGTGTAAATTACTAATTATGGAAGTTAATACCAAAATTTTGTAATTCTCACCAACCTCTTTATAGTTTTCTAACTTAAAAACGGAAAACATAAAAGTAATGGACGTGTATGTCCGTACGTAGTAATAAAATTTTTCCAACTTCCGACGTCAAACAGCTTTCGTCCCGCGGCCGTGCTGGCCGTTATTAACAGTTAAACTCCAACAACTTTTAAATCTTAACCACTTCGAGCTTGAAAATACGAAATTTAAAATACCAAAAAAAGAAGAAAAAAAGAAAAGAAAAGAAAAGAAAAAGAGTCACCACTCACCACGCGTTTTGCATTATGATGATTTCGAGTTGTAGGCAAAGATTTGGACAAAAAAGCCTGACAGACACGAAATTATAGTAACATTTCTTTTCTTTTCTTTTCTTTTTTTTTTTAATTTTATTTATTTATTTATTTTTACTTTTACTTTTCTCTCTTATCATTTGCATTGTCCGGCTGCCTCCCTCGGTCTCTCCTTCTTGGCCGGCTAAAGCCAGACCCTTCCCATCTGCCCGTCACTTCACTTTTGTTTCCCACTCTTTGTTTTTTCACTTTGACCCACTTTTATTTTCTTTTTTTACATTATATAAAATACTAATATTATTTATAATCTCAAAAAAAAAAAAAAAGTAAACCAGAAGGAGATTCTGTTACATTTAACCCCCCTCACCTTAGTTTTGTTTCTCTGTCGTGATCTGTGCATTCTTTTCCGTACCATTAAACATATTTAGTCTCCTTTTTTCAACAATAGGAAGCTCGGGTGTTTTTTTATTTATTTTATAGTATGTTTTGCTTTTAAGTGTATAGTTAATTGTAGTTTAGTAGCAGTAATATATAATCCATGAAGAAATGGGCATGGCAATGGAGTTCCGGCTTTCGTTGAAGGAAGACAAGGCATTTGGGGGTTTTTTTTTATTAGCTGTAAAGTTCCACTGTTGCCCACTCGCCCCCATTTGACCTCTGTCTCTGTGTGTTTCTCCTTTTTCTTTGTCCTCTTTCTTTCGTTCTTTCTTTTTTTTAAATAAAAGAAGAAAATTTTAAAATTTAATCTTTATGAAGAATTATAGTAATATGCTTCTCGTTTTAAAAATTTGATTCTCGGGCGATTTTTCCTTCTGCGGGGAAGGCATTTGTTATAAGACCCCAATTCAAAGTTGGGGTCTTTCCCTTTCTCTCTCAGTCATGGCACCTGCCAAGGTTTCTGGGTTTCATAGACAAGGAAATGACTGGTAAGCTTTTATACTTACTCTTCTATCTTTCTTAACCGGCTAGTAACTTGAAGTTTGTACCTTTGTTTTCAGTTCTTTGCTCCTTTCCTTTCTGGTTTAGTCTAATTTTCTTAACCCTCTTATTTCATGAATGAATAAAAAGTAATCAGTTCTGTGTGGCTTGATCAAGTTATGCTTGTTTTGATAGGTTTTTGGGTTTCTAGAAGAGAGAAGAAGGGATTATTTTGGGGGCTATAAGCAAAATTATTTATTTCTAAGGGCGTTAAAGAATTCTGTTTATAATGTGGTTTTTATGGGTTTTGCAGGTTTTGCAATGCAGGGTTGCCAAGTGATATAGCCATTATTGTGGATGGTATAAACTTTCATCTTCATAAGGTTAGCCAAATTTTCAGTTTTCAACACTTATATGAGGTTTTTGGTGTTTGAGCCCTCAGATTAACCTTGGGATATTTAGTCTTGAGGCTTTTACTCTTTCCTTGTAAATAGTTTGACCTCAGTATTGCATGGCTATGACCAATGTATTCTATTCTATGTTTTATTTTATTGTTGTGTATTCATTCTGGGATTAGATGTGATTGTTGGTTACTGGACTTTTAGATAAAGATGTATCCTTTTTCTTTATTTGCCGTGATCATTTAGAGGCATTTTATCAGTGTTTTCTCCCTTATATAATTGAGTTCAATGATAGTTACAAACTGTGTACGGACAATGGATCTGCGATTTGTAATGAATGAAAAAGAAGAAAGAGACAGACTGTTAACAGAATTTGAATTTATATTAACCCTTTATTGTATTGCCTTGTAATGTGTGGATATACAAAAAACAAGAGTCTAACAGATTATTTCCAATTAAAACTAGTAAGAGAATTTTATAAGATAGAGCCCTCAATTTATCTCTGTGTAAGCTTACTTCTGCTCAATTCTTTTTTTTTTTTTACTTTTTCTACCTTCTTAATTTTCTACCTTGTTTCTGATCCTTTCTGATGATTTAACTTTGCAGTTTAAGGCAACCTCTGTGTGTTGTAGATTGCATAGTGTGCCTTCATCTTGTTAATGATTAACCATGTTATTCTCTTGGTATATTTTCTGTAACAGCTTCGTCTTTTTCTAATGTTTTGGTTGATGTAATTGTTATAAACTTGTTTTTTCCACTTTCTATTGTACCCTATGTCTAAGACCAACATGGTGATTTTATGCACTAAAATGTTAAGCTCTATGGTCGTATATGACTGCAGTTTCCTCTTGTGTCAAAATGTGGGAAGATAGCTTCCATCTTTGAAGAACTCCAGAGTGCTGATGATAATTCTTTTACCACAAAGCTTGAAGAATTCCCTGGTGGTCCAGACATTTTCTTGTTTGCAGCAAAATTCTGCTATGGCACTCGGGTTGAATTTACAGCGAGAAATATAATGTCAGTGTACTGTGCAGCAGACTACCTTGAGATGACAGATGAGTATGGGGAAGATAATTTACTTTCCAAGGCAGAAAGTTTCTTCCACAAAAATGTACTCCGCAACTGGAAGGATTGTATATTGGCTTTACAAAGTTCTGAATCATGCCTGCCAAGGGCAGAGAAGCTCCACGTAGTACAGAAATGTTTGAATGCTGTAGCCATGATGGTTTGTACAGATCCTAGTTTGTTTGGTTGGCCCATGATGATGTATGGTAGCCTACAGAGCCCAGGTGGAAGCATTCTATGGAATGGAATAAACACTGGGGCAAGAATACGAAGCGCAGAATCTGACTGGTGGTTTGAAGACATCTCGTATTTCAGTGTAGGTTTATTTGAAAGACTTATCAAAACAATGGAAGCAAGGGGCATAAGACCTGAACATCTAGCAGGTGCTATAATGTACTACGCAAGAAAGTATCTACCAGGTTTGGGCCGATGGCACAGCACACAGAGTGGCAAAGCGAGGACAGTGGCGAGTTTTAGCTTGACCCCTGCCACTGTTGATCAGAAGGTTTTACTGGAAAGCATTGAAAGGCTTCTCCCAAAAAAGAAGGGCAAGTCCTTCTGCCGCTTTTTACTTGGACTTCTTCGTGTTGCATTGATACTAGGTGTAAATCAAACATGCCAGGATTCATTGGTGAGGAGAATAGGGATGCAACTGGAACTGGCTAGCCTAGATGGTCTTTTAATTCCTTCTTACTCCGATTCTGATACTCTATATAATACTGATTGTGTTGAACGGATCATCCATCATTTTGTGTCCTCAGAATCAGGGTTAACATTATTTTCACCACCATCATTGGACCTAGAAACATCACCGTCATCCGAGCCCTTAAGAAAAGTTGCTAGATTAATAGATAGCTATCTTGCAGAAGTTGCTTCTGATGTAAATTTGAAACCAGGAAAGATACGATCTCTTGCTGAGGTCCTTCCAGAATCTTCAAGACCATTGCATGATGGGCTATACAGAGCACTGGATATTTATTTCAAGGTTCGAATTTACTGAACCAACTTTTGATGTAAATGGAGTTTATTCTTTTCAAGGTTTGTAATTATTACTACCATTGTGCAGGCACACCCTTGGCTTTCTGATAGAGAGAAGGAAGAACTCTGCAACATCATTGACTACCAGAAACTCTCTGTTGATGCCTGTGCCCATGCTTCCCAAAATGAAAGGCTTCCACTTAGAGTCATTCTTCAAGTCCTGTTCTTTGAGCAGATGCACTTAAGAACAGCTCTAGCTGGCTGTCTGAATGTTTTGGAAGCTGAAAGTGCTCCTACAGGTCATGGGACTGCCACAGCAGAGATGGCTGGTCATGTCACTGCCACAAGTGAGACAGCCGGCCAGATTGTGCAAAGAGATGGATGGGTGACAGTTGTACGTGAAAACCGAGTTTTAAAGGTGGATATGGAAAAGATGAGGTCTAGAGTTGGGGAACTTGAAGAGGAATTTAGTAAAATAAAGCAAGAAATGAAAAGGGTGACAAAATCACATAGCTCTCTGAGTTCCCCTCGCATAGTTGGAAGAAAATTTGGATGCAAGCTTCTTCCACGATCCTCAGATGCTCAAACAGATGTTGTTGGAAGCACAGGACCAACTCCAAGATCATCAGTTGAGCAAGCATGTCCTTCCCGTCATTCCAAGCATCGAAAAAGTTTCTCCTTGTTTTGATAGTTAACACGTGGAAACTAACATCCATGTTTCGACATATAAACAGTGGGTGGGTGCTATCTCAAAAGTCACTCCAAAAGAAAAAGATTGTCTTGTGTTGTACAGGAAATAGGTTTGAAATGTGTGAAGAAAAAAGAAAAAGATTCATATCACCTACAATTTTGGTGTTGACACTTTTCTAATTATGAAATCTTGACCATTCATGATTTTGGGGTTCATTAAGGTTTAATGTGGTGGCATATTTTCATGAATGGTCAAGATTTCATGTGATGTAGAATTGTAGGAAATAGGATTGTAGGTGATATGAACCTTTAACACACTCTTCTTTTGAGTTCATTGATTGGATGGGTTGTATCCATTAAGGATACTGAATATGTGAGGCTGATCCCTCCCTGTTAGTGGGGCTTGAGGAGTGTGCCCTACATGGTTTGGGTTGGAGCCATCATAGCAGCAAATAGGTCTCCTTTTTCTTTCCCTGTTAGAGGAATCTTATAATTATTGTGTTTAGTCTTCATCTTTCCTTTACCATTCCATTGGTTTACACAATGTATAGATCTGTGAATCAAGTTGTAAGTTTGTTTAAACATTCAGTAAATATCAAGACATTCAAGTTACCGTTTGTCCTAAATTTTGCATCAGTTCCTTTTTCGTTCCAAATTTGTTGAAAAATTCCAGTCAGTTGTTGAAGAAAGTAAGACGTTGCAGTGCAGTTATAGCTGTAGTCAAGGGCAGTAAAGTCAATTTGGTGCCAGACTCGAGCTCAATTGAGCTTGACTCGATTTAGCACGATTATCATCGACTCACATAAAGAATTTAAGTCTCTGACATAGACTCAAGGTTGAGTTCGGTTGCAAAAATCAAATAAATCGTTGGTATTCAATATATATCTTTTCCATTGAGTACATGTCATATATCGTCGCTTTGGCCGAGTGGTTAAGGCGTGTGCCTGCTAAGTACATGGGTTTCACCCGCGAGAGTTCGAATCTCTCAGGCGACGTTAAATATTTTTTTTGCCGTCATCGTCCGATATATGTACTTTCAACATAGTCATATTTTACCACGTTATTTACTTCTTCCACCCGCGTCTCACCTGATCATAACTCACTCACTCCCTTCCTCTCAGGAAGCCCTGTCTGGCTCTCACCTCATAGTACAAAACAATCAAACAAACAAAAATTCCAAATTTTTTATTTTTCTTTGATTTCTTTCGCTTCCAATTTTAGCTTTGCCGCCGTCTTTTGAACCCTCTTTCTCCGTACACGGTCGCAAAGATGTCAATTTCAGCACCTTTAATCTTCAAACTCTCAACTTTTTCCGGCGGCAACGATTCAACGACGAGCAAGGTGATCCGGATCCGAACTTTTTTCTGTTTCAAAGAGATTATCAGTATCGAATCTCGGTTGAAATTAGCTTCGTCAACGTCAGTTTCCTCGCACCGTATAATGTTCACAAACCGCAGGTGGACGCTTCACTGCGTTAGGCCGGATTCTACAGGGAACACGGTTAGTAGTTCGTTGGAAGGGGAAAATGGAGATTTTGATGGTGAATCTAGGGTTTTAGAGGTTGGATTCGACGATCAACCGAATATTGACGGCGGCTGCGGCGGAGATAGTAGAGACGGTGATTCATTTGGTGGTGGCGGTGGTGGTGAGGGTGACGATGAGGCAGAGAGAGAGTTTGGACCGATATTGAAGTTCGAGGAGGTGATGAAGGAAGCGGAAGCTAGACGAGTGAAGCTGCCTTCGGATATGATGGAGATTGCGAAAAGTAATGGAATCCGGAAACTGTTCCTGCTTCGTTACTTGGACTTGCAGGTTGGATTTAAAAACTTGAACTTTTGATTTTTGATGGTTGGTTCTGTTTGATTGATGGGAAAAATGGAGGGAAAATAAGCTTAATGAAAAGTGGGAATCTTTTTCTTTTAGAGATATAAATAGATTAACTGGGTCAAAAATAGTTGACCAATAGGTTTTATTGGATATGCTAATATAGATGTAGTTGCTTATACACAAGCAATAAAGTAGAGAAATTCGCTTCATTTAATATTAAATAGTATAATTCCTTGTTATAGTAGTGTTTATTCAGGGAATGACAATGTTTCTAGGGGCAACAAAATACTTCTATAAATTTTTGGTTTGGGTTTGTTAGATTAAATAATACAATAAAAGGATGAAAATTGGCCACAATGCGTTGATTCTAGTTAGTTTCCTGCTTTTCCTTAATTTCCCGTTTCTACTCTGCAATGCAGTTAATGGTTTTTATCTTTTTTTTAAAAAAAAAAATTATTATTTTTTCATTCTATATGACTAGGATGTTTTATGCTCATTTTGACCTTTGAATGGCAGGGATCGGTTTGGCCACTTGGCTTTTTAATGAAATACTGCTCTATGCTCCGGAATAGAATGCTAGCAGATCCTTCATTTCTTTTCAAAGTTGGAACAGAGGTTTGTTGAGCGTAACTTTGATATTTACTCACAGGATTAGATAAATGTTACTTCTTTCTCAAAATTGTCCGTATGACCATGTTATAGTGCTGCAGCTGGACTGACCATAACATTAACTATTTGCCTTGATGGCTGTCTCCTCCCTGTGCTGTTATGACCTGACAAGCCTTACTGTAGTGTAGTGACATGTAGTTGTGGTAGTCTCTCAATTGCAGTTTATTCTGGGTGTTTCAGGCTGCTTAGATGTTTCTCTTCTGATTTTTATCTTTTCTTTCTTTGATTTGGCATGATGCAGATAGTAATCGATTCTTGCTGTGCAACATTTGCAGAAATGAATAAAAGAGGAAAGGATTTCTGGTCAGAGTTTGAGTTGTACCTTGCTGATATTTTGGTTGGTGTAGTGGTGGACATTGCTTTGGTTGGCATGTTAGCACCTTATGCTCGTTTTGGTCAACCATCTGCATCCAGAGGTTTATTTGGGCGCTTACAACATGCTTGTGCTGCTCTTCCTAGCAGGTCATCATTACACATCAACAGTTTATATCCTATGAAATTCTAAACTTATGTTTTGATGTTAAACTTTTAAGTATTTCTTTGCATTTGTTCCCTGCTAGATGTTCTTGCTGTGTAGTACTACAGTAGATTTCATGCTGAAATACCTTGTGTTTGGATAAAACACATAACTTCATTTTCCTCTCCTCTAGTTTTATGTGCTTTTTTTCTTTTTTGGCTCCTATCTACTTCCAACTTTATCTATATTGTTTGTGCAATAGTTTAGACAGTCATGAAAGTTTAACTTACAGTAACTCTTCTGCTCTCTCAGTGTTTTTGAAGCTGAAAGACCAGGATGTAAATTCTCAGTGAAACAACGGATTGCAACATACTTTTATAAGGTATGCATTGCTAAGTAATCAATGACTCTTAAATGGAATGTCAAGGCAGGGAGGAGGTGTTTCTCCATGTTTTGATTAAATTGTGGTGTTGCATTTAATATAAACCTCAGAGAATTGGTTGTAGAGTATACCATCTCTTGCACCATCAAAGCTCTTTGTAATTTTTCATCTGGTTCTACTAGAATTGTGTTCTGATGTTATCATTGGATCCCATATTTTTCTTAATCAAGCAAAAAGAGCAAGGAGCATATTTTATTCTGTTAGTTACTTGTTGGCTTATTCTGGATCCAGGGTGTATTATATGGCTCAGTAGGGTTTGGCTGTGGTCTTATTGGCCAAGGAATCGCTAATCTGATAATGACTGCCAAAAGGTACTATTTTGTCTGGATATTTCTTGTTTCTGTTTTGCTGTTTTACCTAAAAACTTTCTTGGTAGTTTTTCCTGTTTCAAATGCTACCTAAGTTTATAGCCTCTAATAATTTAGGACAAGAATTTAGCATGTAGGGGATCTAATTGGCTTTCCACTTCCTAGTTCCTAGTAAACTTTGTGTCATAACTTTTTATGGATGGCATATCTGTTGATCTATTGATCTATCCATCTATCTTAGTATGATTCAGGATGTACACTGGCAAAACTGTATTCTGGCATCCTAGTTAATAAAATATGAAAATCATATTAGGGATACTATGTCATCTGCCTTCTATGAATCAAATTATTGCTTTATCTGTCTTGCAGAAGGAGATCAACAAAATTGTAATACAAAATTTCATGCTGGTCAATGATGAAATATTCTGCTGGGAAATATATCCAATGAAACATTTTGCGTTCATTGTTCGGATAGATGGAGTTGATTGCTTTCGATTGCTTTCTTTCTTTCTTCTTTTTTTTTTCTCTCTTAATCAAACAAACTTTTTAACACAATGAATTTGTTAAGGTGCTCAGCCTCAAAATCTTTGATAGTATTGACTGTTTTTTCATTGCTTTTGGATGTATTTTGCTGACGTGTATAATCTTTTAATTGATCAGGAGCATAAGGAAATCAGATGAGGACATTCCTGTGCCACCTCTTGTGCAAAGTGCTGTTCTTTGGGGTAAGTCTAAACCTATTTACATTCCAACTTTTAGCCTCATTCTCATGATACTTTATACTCCTGAATTATATCAGATTCACGTAGTCACTTGTAAGTCATAAAAGAAAAGAGTAGTCCAGGCAGTTGGAGGAATCAGTATAAAAGCCATCGCAATGCCTCGAATGCTATTTAAATTATAAACTGATAATATTTATTTATTCATGTTTCTGTAATTTTTAGTCTTAAAACTGCCTTCATTGACAAAAACTAGCTAAGAGTTTACTTTATCATTACTTAATAGATTCAAGAACTTTGCTACTATTTATTTTTTTCATCCTCCTTAATGGTTTTGCCATCTGAATCAGGTGTTTTCCTTGCGGTGTCTTCCAACACTCGTTATCAAATTATTAATGGACTAGAGCGTCTAGTGGAAGCATCACCTGTTGCCAAGCGGGTTCCACCGGTTGCAATGGCTTTCACAGTAGGTGTGCGGTTTGCTAACAATATTTATGGTGGTATGCAATTTGTTGATTGGGCAAAATGGAGTGGAGTGCAATAGGAGCAACCTGATTTCTGCCAGAGTGCTTCTTGAATGAGAAGCCCCGCTGTGGTACCCTCAACCGGCTAAATGACCCCCAAAGATGAGACAAAAGGAAGAAACATAAAAAGGAAGCCTCTTTCCCATTTGGTTTCTATTATGAGAAGCCAATTGCATGGCTGGCAAAAGTATGAACTAGGATTCCATGGCTTTGGGTCAGCATTGCTGTTCATGTTGAGGGTTGTTGGTTTTCTCTTAATGCTCAGACCAACCAAACAGAATTAAAACTTCCCTTCCCATCTTAATCCAACACTTGTATTTGAAAAGAAACAAAGAAATAATAAAAGAAGGGAAAACGAAGGATTGAACCTTGTTATTTGGTTTGTCTTGTCAAGCGAAAATATCCTTGAAAGTCAGAGATAGGTGGCCCCTGTACAGTAATTAGGCAGTTGTTCAACGAACCCCACCTATACTTTTGCTGCCTTCCAGTTTTCAAGCAACATAGAAACAAGAGGAAAAGTTAAGAACAGTGTAATAATACCAGGAAGAAAACTGTTGGATGGGCAAAGCAGCATTACTATTCCAATTCTGAGGCAAGCATTTCCTAAATGGGCTCTTGCCTTGCATGACCATGATGTGAACATCACGAGTCAAAAGGATATCCACTCGGAAATGCATTAGAACTTTATGAGGACAATTTGTACATTTTCTTGGTTGCACTCGTTGCCGTTGATTGAGTTCACCAAAAAAGGCTATCTTTTCTTTTTCCAAAAAAGGGAATCATTGTTGCATTGCAAAAGATTTAACTTTTAATTACGGAATTTCGCCGATAAACTCCTGATTTAGTGAGATAATCAGCTATTTATATACGTAACATATATTAGATTTGAACTTGAGCCATCCAATTATGGGCAGTAAAGTTGGTCAAGTTCACCTGTTAAGCATCAATAACAGATAGCAATAAAGTGAAGTTCTGGAGTGGAACGATGCAATGAAATTAAGAAGGTTTCATTATGATTTTAAATTTTACTATCAAAGAACAACGTTTCAATCAAGCAGTAAATCGATCTTTTGCCCGATTTTTATAAATACGATTGACACTTTAATCTTATTATTTGAAGTACTGATTTGTTCTTATGCTAATGGAATAAGCATCTAAATATCAATGTCTTGTCTTTTCATTGTAGCAAAAGTAATAGTAATCACAAAATGCTAAGCATATAAATCCAAGGTAACAATACTGGCAATCTACTAGGCCTTCAAAGTGAAAACCCAAGGTAAATGGATTCAAATTTTCAAAATGAAAGGAGTAATTGTGGGCCCAAGTCCATCCTAACAAAACCGTAAATTTGGAACCCGACCCGGAAAAACCAAAACCGGACAATGTCTTTATTTGTTTATGTATTTAATGCATTCAACATTTCAAATCAATTAAAAGAAAAAGAGAGAAGGTAATTAAGAAATTAAAATAAATGAGTAAAATAAAAGTCGTCTCCAGCTCTTAGCGACGGCTTTTTCCAAATTTTGTTCCTCAGTCCACCTTCTCCCTTTCTCTCTCTCTCTCTCTCCTTAGATCAAACCAAATATTTTCCCCTCCTTTCTTTTACAATTACATTACGAAATTTCCTGTTTTGGTTTTCCACACCTCATTTTTGCCTTCAAATTTTTGTTCTCTTTTTTCTATATGCCGGATCGATTTCGCCGTTCCCGTTGAAAGAAAGGAGAGAAAGATCTGGAAAATTGAGAGGCAGATCCAAAAGGAAGAAGAGTTGGATCTGATCGGTCAAGTGGAATGGCAATGCACGGGATGAGAGGGCTCTCGGTTTTCATAAGCGACGTTCGAAATTGCCAGAACAAAGAGCAAGAACGATTGCGTGTCGATAAAGAGCTCGGCAACATCCGTACTCGCTTCAAAAATGAAAAGGTTAGGACTTCAGAGCAAATATTTTTAAGGTTTTTTTTTTTAATCTAAATGCCATGTTTAGAAAACGATCGGACTTACTTTGTAAGTGCTTCCAGTAGAATTTGTTTTTAATATAGAAAACGGTGAGTTTTATATTATTTTATTTTTGTTAATTAGATGTTGTAGGTATTTTGAATTTTTGTGAGCGCGAATTGTGAGCTAAGTTAAGCTAGGGTTTATCATTGTGTTGGCTAATTTCTTTTTAATTTTTTAAATTAAAAAACTAGCTAATTACGTCTATAATAACTTTTTGATTAAAAATTTATGCATTTGTAAACGCTATAAAGTGTGTCAATTTTTGATGGGGGTCGGCTATATATGCCCAGCTTACAAAAAAATAAATTTCTCGTAGTTTTAATAGGAACAGAGTTCCACATCGTTTGAGAACAGTAATGGCTGCTGTATGAATGAGAAAAATTACTATCTTTATAAGCTTTTACTGTTACATTTCTTCTGACTAATCCTATGCGGTAGCCCCATTTGAAATGTTAGTGGTAGTATTGGATCTGATTCCTGAAGAATTCTAACAATTTTTGTGAATCCTATGTTAAGCAAAACTCTACTTAGTGTTATTAGATAGTATGGTGCTTGCTAGTCCTGAGAAACTCATCCAACTTGAATTTCCAGTTGAAGGCCATTAGCGTAGTATTGAACCTTTGAAATGTGTATATACCATAGTACCATAGTAGGCACCGTCAGTCTGTAGCATTTCAATAATCTAATCAAAGAAGCCTATCACAATTATTAGGAGAATAGACTATATATAGACCAGTTGGAATTAAATAAGTTTCTTGTGATAAGTTTCCACAATCTGACTGCTGAATGAGTTCCTGGAATCCTTTTTAAGAGTCAGTGCTCACCAGTTCAGCTTGAGGTGAGGAAGATGATGTTGATTGTATGTTCATGCGGAACCATGTTTAACAAACCAAACATTTGAACTATGTTGTTAAAATTTTAAAATTGTATAGGTTAGTGAGGATACAATCTACTAAGATGTGTTTCCATAAAGTTGTTGAACTTATCAATTCCCTGGCATATTTGATTGCAAGCATTTTTATTACTTTTTATTTGGATTTTATAAATCTGGCTGTTTATTGATAGTTAGATGAGGTCCCTGGAGCCTTTGACTTATAGTGTCTCTGTTTCTCCTCCACCTCTCCTAACCTCCCCCTGTGGGCACATTCTTATGTGGTCCTTATATGGGCTTTTTCGATTTACATTCCCCTATCATGTTCAATTTTGAAGGTAAAAATACAAAAGTTCTCAACCTCATGAACTTTCTATTTTCCCCTTCCTCTGACAGTAGTTAAATTTTATAGTATTTTGTTTTTGTGCTCAGAAGTTCTATACCACCAACTTTCTTAAAGCATTTGCTTTATCTAGAAATTTTATTCAATAATTTTCAAATTAGCATCATCTTAATAGTTTTGTTGTCTTTGATTCTCATAGAGATTCATACAAATCAATTCTAGTCACAGTAAGGAACCTAACTTGCATTCGCTTTTTCACATTGAGTGTTTGCTCCAGCTTTGAACATGCTAGAATATAGGGATGCACTCTGTTATTCAGGAATCTTTATATTTGTCTACATTAGGGCTGTTGGGTGAATTTCAGCTGGGTCTCCAGCTCCAAAGAAGCAGCCTTGTTATTATATGAATTTTCCATTTTTTTATTATTTGCTTTTGTAATCACCTATTAAGGAGGAGTTTAGCTCATTCTTTCATCTGAAAAGTAAATCCTAGAGCCAAATTTTTCCAAACACTATCATTCCCTCTAGAAACTCTTAATTGGAACCTTTTAGTGCCTTGTTAGGTGACAACTGAGTAGGTCCTTTAGTGTCTTACCAAAAGGAATGTGCAGATTCTTATTCAAAGTTCATGTTCTTCTGACAGGGATTGACTCCATATGAGAAGAAGAAATATGTTTGGAAAATGCTTTATATTTACATGCTGGGTTATGATGTTGATTTTGGTCACATGGAAGCTGTTTCTTTGATTTCTGCACCAAAGTATCCAGAAAAGCAGGTAAGATTCATTTCGTTTTTCTTTTATTATGAGTAGTAGCACATTTAAGAGACACTGAATGGAGGGAACAACCTATTGGACTAATGCTTTACAAATGACATCCTGTTCAAGAGCCTGAAAGAAGAGGAAACCTGAAAAGTTGTATAACAATGGCCTAAAGTGTTCTCATTTCCTCCTTTCCCTAAGAAAGAAAGAGGAGAAAAGGGCCATCAAAACTTAAATGTATAAAGAGCTAACAAAATAACATGTTGAGATGTCTCAGCTTTATTTCACTACTTAGAATCTGTAGTACTATGAAAGCTTTATCCTTTATACTCGTATCAATTATTGCTACATGTAACAAGTCTCCTGCACCAATAAAGCTGGCAAGTGTTGATACTGTCTAAGCAGTATCGTTAACCATCATAGTATGGCATCCCAATCTGTGACAGTATTTGAATGGGGCTGTAAAGGTTTTATTATGGAAGGTTGGATAATATATGGATCAGGTACTTTTGCAAGTTTTTCACAGAATTGAGCTTACTGGGTTTCTCTGGTCAATGAAAGATATAGCTCTCATGCTGTGAATGGTTGATACTGAAATCTGTGCATTTCCATTCTCTCTATTTGCACAAGTATTTTTCTCTGTGGCTTATTTAACTTATATTCTCCTATAATTGGCTGCAGGTTGGATACATTGTGACATCATGTTTGCTCAATGAGAATCATGATTTTCTGAGACTAGCAATCAACACCGTACGCAATGATATAATTGGTCGAAATGAGACTTTCCAGTGCCTAGCATTAACTATGGTAAGGCAAAAAGAAACTGCTTGAGCTTCTATATGTCATCCACATAATTAGAATGGGATAGAATTGTTTCTGATTTACAACATCAAACCGGTACCCTACATACTTAATTGAGATGCATATGGAAAGTAGGATTTAGTCTGTGAGATATGATTGAAAGTTTGCTTTTTCCTTTTCTTTTCTCTCTATTCTCTAGAGAAGTTTTTATTCACTTTCCTATATACTGTTCACCACTTTGTAATTTATATTGTAGCTCTTTGTTCCTGGATCTCTAATAGGTGATTCTATTGTTTTTATTGTTAATTTCATGCAAAATGGAACTCAGTGTTTTGTTGCTTTGTGCCTCGGATGTTGCTTTATAGTCTTTAACTTTTTTTTTTTTGATAGGTTAGTCTGTAACATTTTTTGTTATTGATCGTCTAGTCACTTTTCTGTTACCTTTTTTTGGGGTGATTTATGGACACCTAAAGTTTTCCATCGTGTTATTCTTTTTTTTTTTTTCCTCAGCTCCATGTTGTTATTCTTGTCCTTTGCTTATTATTGCATGTCATCTTCCTCACGTTCAGAGCATCACCTCCTTTAATCTTACATTTACCCTTTTCTTGAACTGACTCTGTAGGTTGGGAATATTGGTGGGAGAGAATTTGCTGAGTCTTTGGCACCTGATGTTCAAAAGTTACTTGTAAGATCTACCAGAAACTTGTTAAGTTCAACTGCCTTTTTTAGAAAATAATTAAAACTGATAAAATCTGTTATTCCAGCTTTCTAGCAGCTGCAGACCACTTGTACGAAAAAAAGCTGCATTATGTTTGCTGCGCTTGTATAGGAAAAATCCTGATGTTGTCAATGTTGATGGCTGGTATGCTATAATGTTAAAAGTTTTATCCCAACTGTCTGTTTTATGATGTTAGTTGTGCTTATTTTGAATTGCTTTTCTTGCCCTATGTTTTAGGGCGGATCGGATGTCGCAGCTTTTAGATGAGCGTGATCTTGGTGTTTTGACCTCTTCTATGAGCCTTCTTGTTGCTTTGGTATCAAATAATCATGAAGCATATTGGACTTGCCTTCCAAAGTGCGTTAAAATATTGGAGCGCCTTGCGAGGAACCAAGATGTTCCACAGGAATATACTTACTATGGTATCCCATCTCCCTGGCTTCAGGTTTGTCCTTCCGTTTCACTCTTACAATGTCTATGAATTTGATGCCAAGCTCAGAAAAAAGTTATGGGCCTGGTCTGATTAGATTGTATATGTTCTAGGTGAATAATTCCTTTATTTTTCTCTTGGATATGTTTTCTACTAGGCTGCTAGTAATTGTGACCAACCTCTTTCCTATCTCATTTTTGGAGTGGATGACTTTGGTTATTAGTAATTATCATCGACTCTTTTTTGGTAAAGTTCATCTTGATATTTATTAGTATTTTTTTTATAACAGGTTAAGACAATGAGGGCTCTTCAGTATTTTCCTACCATTGAAGATCCAAACACCAGAAGAACTTTGTTTGAGGTTTAAACTTTCCCATATATTTCATCTTTTGTCTTTTTTAAGATTATATTTTGATATTGATGGAACTTGAATACTGACTTCAGGTCTTACAACGGATATTAATGGGAACTGATGTCGTGAAAAATGTTAATAAGAACAATGCATCACATGCAGTTCTCTTTGAAGCCCTTGCTCTAGTGAGTTTACTACTGAGCTCTGGTTTTAGTATGTGAAATTTATTATCGAAGGCATTTTTTGACACATGTGACTTTATAGAAAAATTTAGTCTGCCAAAAAATCAAATTGATGCTTCTATGCAAATTTTGCTTAAATTCACCCAAATTGGTTAGTTTAGATGGGTTTCATGTTTTTTATTATAGGACCAGAAACATTCTGTGTTTTTCTAGCATCCACACATGCATTTCCTGTCCATATGTAAGTATGTACTTGAGGTAGTATCATATGGTATACGGATGATGGTGCATCTCACTCTGCACGTGCACATGCAGAAAGAAAAAACAGAATGGTTTTGAAGTACCAACCTACTGTTCACTTATTGCATGATGTTACATTTCTTGGACAAATTATTCCTTGCCTCTTTATCATGATATATTTGTAAGCTATATAACCCCTCTCCCAGTCCCTCTCCGAGCACTTGTACACATCATATAAAGGATACAACCATATGCGTGTGCAACTGTTCTAATTTATCAAGCATGTTTGAACACTTCTTTCTTACATTGTGTTGTGCATTTGTTGTCCTTATTACAGGTCATGCATCTTGATGCTGAAAAGGAGATGATGTCTCAGTGTGTTGCCCTTCTTGGGAAATTCATTGCTGTTCGCGAACCAAATATTAGATATCTTGGTTTGGTAAGTTAAGGAAACATATTTACTTAGTTTTGTTTGCAATTGATCATATCTTCAAGCAGTAGCAAATATGTTCATGTATGCCAAATCAAGATGGTTACCTATAACTTAATGATTTACTTTAGATTTTTAAATGCTTTGTTACAGGAAAATATGACTAGGATGCTAATGGTTACTGATGTGCAAGATATTATCAAAAGACATCAGGCGCAGATCATCACATCATTGAAGGATCCTGATATCAGGTTGAGTCTCTTGGTTTTGCAGTCTTTTGAGTAATTGATGCTGCTTAAATTGTTATTGCGATGATTCTTGTGAATCATTAATATTCAGACTCAAATCTGGGTAACGTCCATTATTTGGCCACATATTAGATGTGCCAAAGTGGTGTATGCTGGTTCTTTAACTGCCAAAGTGTTTAAGATTAGAGTGTTTGTAAAAATCCTTGCTTGTGCAGCTGAAAAGTTTTGAAATCGCCTTTTATTGCTGTCTGTTTTTGACTTCCTCATCTGACTATTCATATTACAAGAGTGCCACTTTATTCAAATCAGAAAACTCCATCTATATCTAAAGCCTTTACTCTCGACATATTTATATTAATGGCCTTTACAGCTGTAAGCAGTAATGCACGTAACTTCTATCATGTAAACTCAATTATATGTGCATCAAATTGTATTTTTCTAAGATCCAATTTTTGTTGACTGATTCCAATTTGGAATTTGCAGTATTCGTAGGCGTGCTCTTGATTTGCTTTATGGTATGTGTGATGTAACAAATGCAAAGGACATTGTTGAAGAACTATTGCAGGTATTAAAGTCTTGAACATGAAAAAGTTACTACCTTCTATGATTCCTTGGATAATTTATTTTCTGTATAACTATTGAAATGCTGAGGCACAAGATGAGAACACCCTTGACTGTCATCTGTTTATCAGTATCTGAGCACAGCTGATTTCGTAATGCGTGAGGAATTGTCTCTTAAGGCTGCCATTCTTGCAGAGAAGTTTGCTCCTGATTTGTCATGGTAAGCATGTTGGTGAAAGCAGGATACTACCAGATATGTTTGTGAATGGAAATTTTGTAACTCGGAGTTTTCTTTTCTATTGTGTATGCTAACTTGATCAAATGATTAGTTATTATTCCCATTTGCAGGTATGTGGATGTGATCCTTCAGTTGATTGACAAGGCAGGAGATTTTATTAGTGATGACATATGGTTCCGTGTTGTGCAATTTGTTACTAACAACGAGGACTTACAGGTGATCAATAATGTCTTTAACACATATAGGGCCACTTTTTATGACATTAAAATATTCTTCTTCATTTGTTGGTTTTTGGGCTGAAACTTTATGTTTATGACCAGCCTTATGCAGCTGCAAAGGTGAAAGAGTATCTTGACAAGCCTGCTGTACACGAGACAATGGTCAAGGTTTGTATAATATGTAGTCTTTTTGCCAGATGAGTTGTGTGGGTGTGGAGAGTAGTGTTTGGTGCATGCGGATGGTTTAACCATTTCATACTAATTTTTTAAATGGCAGTAAAATTTTAGCTTCTGTTTTTTCATTCGGGCATTAGGCTCAACATATTTGGAGTCCTTTGGAGATTTTTACCTGTCTAAGAATGATGGTTATATTATGGCTTACCTCTTTACAAGCGATTGTCGACAGAATTAGCGTAGTTGATTTGTTATCATCACTCAATGCCAATTATAGGGTTATTTTATTCTCAAATTTCTTGGGCATTGGCATTTTTTGACTGATTTTACGTATGTGCATCTCTGTTGCTTTGACTCAAGTGAGAGTGTCGGTACAGGTATGCGTCTAAGTGTCTGATCTGTGAATTGTTCTAAATTTAGGATATGTGGACTAAGGGTCAATAATTAGGATACGGGTCAAAGGACTTGTCTATATAAATTTGTGTGTTATATTATTATATTATATTATACTATATTCCACCCTTATTGCTTGTATACTTTAATGTCAGTAGTTTAATGCTTTCCTGAACTGATATTACTAGGCCTACAATTATAATTATGAAATTGGTTAACAAAAAAGTGTTATGTTTGGGTCCCAAAGAAAAATAAAAGCCAAGCATTCGAGACCCACAACACAAATAAAAAAGGCCCTAGTTCTACTACTAATATTATGATGTGTAGTATGCCTGGACCAGCCCAAATTAGTTTGCACTTATAAATGCCTGAATGCCCAACAGAAGACTCAAGTTCCCTTTTTAATTTTTATTAAATAATAATTGGTAAAATTTATGTTATTCTTTCATTGTTTTCTCTGCCACTTTGATTGGCCATTCAGTGCCCCTGCTCTCATCTAAGGAATGGGTTCTCAAATGGCCATGATTCTCATCAAGGATGGCGACTGGCCTTTTAGGAAAAGCTACTTTTGGCTGCACATGTTTTGACTCATCTTTTTCTCCCATATCTCCAATCTCTCATTTTTTTCTTGTTTTTAGAATTTTCTCTGTACACATCAGGATCTTTTACTGCATCATATCTGTCCAGGTTCTTAAATCTTTGACACTATGTTAGATTTCTGGTGATGGTCAAACTGCTTTAGCCCAATTCGTGCCATTACTTACTCAGCATGTCTGCCAAATCTGACCCATATCCCATGTCCTTGTTGGTAGTGCTTCTTGTTGACATGGGTAGGTAGCAAAAATGCCAAGTCCGAGTAACATAGATGTGCACCATACTGCATTAAGTATGGCTGAGCTTTTCTCTTGTTTGTTCATTAAGCAAATTAATCAGATTTCATTTATTCATTTTAATCACTTCTAAAATTTTGATTTTGTTTGGCACTAAACTACTTAGATACGTATACATACATACACACATATATATATATATAAGGGTTAGAGATATAAAAGTGTTTTGGAATTTGTATGTATCGAACAGGTCAGTGCTTATATTCTTGGAGAATACAGCCACCTTCTGGGTAGACGGCCTGGGTGTAGCCCTAAAGAAATCTTCAGCAGCATACATGAGAAGCTTCCAACAGTATCGTAAGAGCCTTTAAACATGGATCCCTTCTGTTTGGTTAATATTTGCTTCTCTATTATTTTCCGTATCTTATAATGGATATCACGTTTCAGGACTACTACCATTCCTATTCTTTTATCGGCTTATGCTAAGATCTTAATGCACAGTCAGCCACCAGATCAAGAACTGCAAAATCAGATTTGGGCAATATTCAATAAGTGAGATTTACTTTTGTATATTTTTCTCTCTGATTGGTCAAATCCATCTATAATCTGTTTGAAATTTGAAAATATTGGTTTTTTACCATCAAAATAATGTGATTTGCATAACACAATTTTTTAATTTGTAACTCAGATATGAGAGTTGCATTGATGCGGAGATACAACAACGAGCTGTTGAATATTTTGCATTAAGTCAAAAAGGTGCTGCTCTAATGGATATATTGGCTGAAATGCCTAAATTTCCTGAACGTCAGGTGTGTGTACTTTGCAAATATTCATTTAGAACCTACCTGCTCCAGCATTTAGTTGCAGGCAGTCTATGTATGTCTTGATTCAAGCAATGGTTAACTGTGCTCTTGTCCTCAATTTACAGTCTGCGTTGATCAAAAAGGCGGAAGATGCTGAGGTTGACTCTGCAGAGCAAAGTGCTATCAAGTTGCGTGCTCAACAGCAAACATCAAATGCTCTAGTTGTAACTGATCAACTCCCTGCTAATGGGGCACCACCACCAGTTCCTGTTGGCCCGCTTACTCTTGTAAAGGTGCCCAGCATGACCAGTGATGAGGTTAGTTCTTTTTGAATTCTAGTGGCTACTTTTGTTCTAGGTTTTTGACACACACAAACACGCATACATATATTGCTTTTTTTCAAGTCTTATTGGACTAATATATATTTGGTTATCTTGGCAGGATCATAGGTCAACAGACCAAGCTTTGACTCACGAAAATGGGACTTTAAGCAAAGTAGATCCTCAACCTCCTTCAGCAGATCTCCTTGGTGATCTTTTGGGTCCACTGGCTATTGAAGGCCCTCCTGGTGCTACTGTTCAATCTGAGCACAATCCTGTCTCCGGATTGGAAGGTGGTCCAGATGCAGTGGATGGTTCAGCCATAGTGCCTATAGAAGAGCAGACTAATACGGTTCAGGTAATGGTTTCTCATATTATAATGTTTACCCATGGCCAAGTCTCTTCTTCCAAGTTCAAGAATCAGAGTAGAACCTTGATGTGGTTTATTTTCAATATCAAAGCAGGTTGTTTGTGATTTACCGTTCTACTCATGGTGGGGAAAAAAACTGGGAAATTTTATTTGTGATGCCACCTTGTTAGACCAGCCTCGAACCCACTGCTTAGAAAATAATGCAGCAGTTTTTGATGACTCCATCTCTCGCTTTTTCTAGTTGATGGGTTGCTGGCTGCTTTTGTGCTGGGGCACAGCTTTCATTTTTCAGTTCTCTTTTTCTTTTATCTATTACAAAAAAGAAAGCAATTTTTTCTCCTGGTGTTTTGTAAAGAAGATGAATTTGGGGGGATTGTATTATTGGTTGCCACCTTAGGAAAAGTTCTCCCCATGCTTTTCAGCTGTTATTGCCAATGTTATGTCTTGCCTATCTGTTCTTAGTTTCTTTATTGTTTGATTATAATTCCCCTTTTTTCTCTTAACAGATCCTTAAGTTTTAGTACAGAGCTTTTTTTCAATTCTTTTCAGTGTACTGAATTGTTGCTATACCCCGCAATCAACTGTTGAGTGCAGTGCAACAGAATTTTTCCTAACTGACATTAAAAAGTTTAGTCATTATTAAATTTGCATGATGTTTCTAATAAATGTTGCAGTGTTATTATAAGTTTCACTGGTTGATTACACTACTTGCATCTGCAGCCAATAGGAAATATTGCTGAAAGATTTCATGCTTTATGCCTGAAAGATAGTGGCGTTCTATATGAGGATCCTTACATTCAGGTATGAATGCTTTACTTTTCATGTTCTCTAGTCTTTGTTATCTGCTACTCTATTATTTCCTCAGGTTATACTCTAGGATACTATTTTGGTTTTTCAAATTGGTATTATAACTCTTTTAGAAGCTTCCAAAAGTTCTGATTTGCTCATGGAACATTACTTCAGATTGGCATTAAAGCAGAGTGGCGAGCTCATCATGGACGCCTCGTTCTTTTCTTGGGAAACAAAAATACAGCTCCTCTGGGTTCAGTTCAGGCTCTAATATTGCCTCCTGCCCATTTAAAGATGGAGCTTTCGTTAGTGCCTGACACTATACCTCCCCGAGCACAGGTGAAATGGATTCATTGTGCTTGTAATTATTACTGATTAATGGTTATTGATGAATTTTTTGGTCATCTTACCCTTTCATTTTCTTTTTTATTATCATTTTTATTGTTTTTCCCATGGATTGTTTAGGTGCAATGCCCACTTGAGGTTGTAAATCTCCGGCCAAGCCGGGATGTAGCTGTTCTCGACTTCTCCTACAAGTTTGCAACCAATATGGTACTTGCAGATAAATGATATATCATATACTGTTAAAACACTATGAGCTGGTTAATTCACTGTGTCAAATATCTTATTACCTTTAACAGGTTAATGTCAAGCTTCGCCTTCCTGCTTTGTTGAATAAATTTCTTCAGCCAATACCAGTGTCTGCTGAGGAGTTTTTCCCTCAATGGAGATCACTTTCAGGACCACCATTGAAGCTTCAGGAAGTTGTATGTATATTGCTGCCTCCTGGTTTTGTTTTTTTGTCCTTTTTTGTTTGGGGGGGGGGGAGGTGTTTACATTAATATGAACAGTTTCATTCTTTAGCTTAATTATACTTTGCTATTAGTGGGTTAGTAGTCCCCATGTTTATCCTTTCTTTATTATTGGAGAGTGCAATACCATGTTTCATATACAGTGTAGACACACCATCACCCACTGGTGTGTAGGAGTTTGAACAGGCATTTTACAATGAGTCTTGTTCTGTGCATTCTGGCTTGTTTTTACTACTCCCTGACTCCATGTGACCATTTGCTATAAATTGTACAGGTTAGAGGTGTAAGACCAATGCCTCTTCCAGAAATGGCAAATCTACTCAACAGTTTCCGGCTAATGATTTGTCCAGGGCTTGTAAGTGTTTTCATTTGAATAAACCCTTCTGCCATTTATGTGGGCATTTTTCACCGTTCAATATTCTGTTTCAGGATCCAAATCCTAATAATCTAGTTGCAAGCACCACCTTCTACTCGGAGAGTACACGTGCCATGCTTTGTTTGGTAAGAAATATACTGTTAAAGCTATATGACTATCTTATTGTAATGATGTAGCTTGGTGGTAAATTTGAATGACATGATGACACCTAAGGAACTAATGTTATGCTATTTTTCCTTGTCTGGTAGTTATTTGAGCTGTTTGGTTTCACATTACATATATATTCTGATTTGAATAGGTGCTCAATTTGTTCTGAATTTTTTTTTCCTCTTTTTTTGTTCTTTTTTTGCTTTGGCCCCTTTTTTATGCCTTTTAACTTAGTCTTCCACCCTAACTAAATTCCATGTGTAGATAAATCTAGTATTATAAGTTGCACTTTTGGAGATTATCCATGAGCTTGAACTGCATTAAAATCTGGTACCGATCGCTTACTGCCTATTCTTGTGTAATATTCAGGTCAGAATTGAAACAGATCCAGCAGACAGAACCCAGTTGCGAATGACACTTGCTTCGGGTGATCCTACATTAACATTTGAGTATGTAGCTAAACTTCACACCAAGCAAGTGTGCTTTAAATTCTTTGGATTGGCAGATTTTTCTTATATTTGATCTGCAGGTTGAAGGAGTTCATCAAGGAACAATTGGTTAGCATTCCAATAGCTCCTCGGACACCAACAGCAGTGGCACCACCAGCACCTCCTGCAGCTCAACCAACTCCAGAAATACCGGCGAACGATCCTGCTGCTCTACTAGCCGGTTTGCTGTGATGAAACTGAAGATGACTGAATGTGAAGATTTGTTCAATATACAATGAACCTTGATTTATACAGCCGGCCCACCCATTTGCCCCTCACATTAAGAGGTGTATATGGAAATCAATCATGATGCAAGGGCTGGCGGGATCACAGATGAGCTAAATATGTTGTCGGCTTAGTGAAGAAGGGTTGGTCGGGATTTTGTGATTCTTTCTGCGCAATGAGATTGTGCCTTGGTGAGTTTCCTTTTGGTTTTTTTTTTTCTTTTTAAAAAATGAATTTTAAAGCCTTTTCTTTTTCCCTCTTTCAGTGTCTTTATTGGGGGGGTTGAGGGTTTTCTTTTTCTTCATTTTACTTCCCAGATTTACCAGATTGGTTTCTCTAGTACGATGTCGTAGCATGTAAGATATGGCATGAAGTTAGGATCGGTTGTAACAGTATTCGTTTGTCAATCCAATATATTTTTTTTAATAAGATAAAAAGTATAGTGAGGAGAAAAGAAGATGTGGATTTTGATCGGATGTAACTCTGTTTTTAATGTGAACCAAGTATCATTTTCAGTTTTGATTCTTCCTCCCACTGGAAATTCCAAGGATACATTTGAAAAAATTACCAAGCAACGAAATCTAAGGGCATGGTCAGAAAAAAATTGCCCATTCGATTTATAGGATATTGGTTCACTTTTAAAATTATGAATTTTATATCAATAAAAAATGAAATAGATTTTAAATATATAAATATGAACTTTTTACTATTTATGGGATATGTTTTTTGAGTTAAATAATGGATCTCTAACAATTGATATAAAAGCAAACTCTCATGAAAAATATAGAAATTGAAATAAATTTTGATTAATGTAAAAGTAATCTCACATCAGTAAAAAATAAATAAATTTTAAATATATAAATATAAATCTTTATCACTTATCAGTGATATCTAAGTTCTTAGCTATTATTTAATATCTGATATCTAATATCGAAGCTATCAATCCAAGTCCCAACCAATTATCCATCGTTGCTGTAACTTCGTTACAAGTGCGTGGCGGTTGTGGGTTCCTTATTTGGTCTTTTGCTCCAAGCTTAAGAGAGTAGTCTAAGCCACGGAGAGATTGCCCATAGCGTACATACGGGTGTATGTAAACACTAACACCAAGGTAGATGAAGGCTTCGTTTGTAAGGTTCTAGTAAAGAAAGAAAGGGACAAGAAGTCTTAAATCCTTGTTTATCTTTAAATTTTTGAGACAATACTTTTGACTTTGATTTTATACAAAAATAATGCCAATCAGATAAGCACAATAAAAAAAAGCTTTTGCTTATCTGTCAAGATCTACGTAAATATCAGAAACCTTATAAAAAAAAACCCCTCTTTTTCTCTAGAATTGATGTGGAAAACAATCCATCCAAAACTTGCTCTTCAATGCATCTCTCACCAAACCAACCATCCGGGCCGAAGGATTGGAATGGTCTACTTTTTGATGTCGAAAAGAGCCACACTGATCCAATCGGAGGAAAGCCACTGCAAAATCGGCAGAAGCTTCTTGGCCTCGAGAAACCACAGCTATGGGACATTGGGACTTTGATTCCTCCATCAATGTACAATCTCAATGACCGGTCTGATAATAAAAAAATGTAACCAGGGGCTCACTTTGCCTCCGAAGATTTCAACCAACAGATACAGAAGACAATCTCAAAACTAGCGCCATTCTCGGCATCGGCCACACTTCCAGCTGCTGTCTTCTGAAGATGACAACTCATCCCAAGGAGAACAATGACTGTGCATCAAAAACCCACAAATGTCACAATAAAGTTCAGGGGCTGGGTTGTTCTGAAGGCACACATGACAATGCGGTGCATTAACGTCAGAGTTCTCAGATATCATCGGTTCCACCTGACTACTAAAGGTATCGGTTCCACGATGTTCAGGGACTCCATCCTGTGAAATTGAACCAGATGCATTCTCCAAATTTCCTGACCCATCCCCCGTTGCATCATGTACATCAACTTGACCGCCATCATCAGATGCTAGCAGCTCAGTGAAAGAGAAATAGGTCTGTGGTTCAAACTCCATATCCTCATAGTTAAGACTTTCATAATCAAATAGCAACTCACTTTCAAGGCCATTGCCAGAAACATCCCATTCTGCAAAAGTAAGAGATGTATCCTCCTTGGGCTCCGTATAATTGCTAAGTTCAGGATATGATGATAATTCAACAAGTCCAGGATCACCCCCAGCATGACCATCCACGTCTTCCCGCTTCACATGCCTTCTGACAGGTAATTTCTGCAGCCCAGGGCCAGAAGCAGTATTCCACTCAACATCCACTTCTGAATTGTTCTCTGTTATTTGCTCAACTTTTGAAAGGGAGAAAAGAAGAGGATCATTAGCTGGTACAAGCTCATTCTCTATAGAAACGTTACGAGTGATGGGTTTACACTCTTTAACGTTGGAAATAGTTCCAAAATCAGAGTCCAATACTACACTTCCTTGACCCTGTTTCTGAGGCTTTCCAAATCGTTTCTTGCGCTTTTGCTCTCTAAGCTCAGGATCCATGTAAGGACACTCAGGTCCTCTTATCCTTCGACACTTGCAACATTTGAATCCAACCAAATCAGAAATCCTTGACTCCTCAAGTTCAACAGCTTCAGCATGGTACCACTCTGCAATGATTAAAGAGATTCATCATAAACAAGAAATCAAAAGAAATTTCTAAGAGCAAAAACTTCAAAAAAAAAAAAATAACACTAATGATCTACAATATACTTACTTCTGCAAGTTTCACAGTGAACATACATTAGATCAGAATTATAGGGTTGTTCACACAGCTCACAAATAGGCTTCAAAAAGTGGTTATCTGAACCACCCCTTGCGAGAATGTTTGCACGTCTGAAGTCAATTCCAGTTTCATCACTGTTCTTTTTCCTCCATATGACCCCCCAATTACACAACTTACTCCGCTTGGTTGCTAAGCCAGAAAGAGAAGCAGATTGCTTAGTATCAGAACTTCTTTCCTGAATTCTGACTGAATTCTCCTTACTTCTGATAGAGGCCAGTGGTTTTATGGGTTGAGCAGAACTTTTAACCTGCATGCCCTTGGTGACTGCTGGTGCACTGAGACAGTCTCGCCCTTGCAAGGGCAAGGGAATGATAGGAGACTTGGTACTGATTTCATTTTGATCAAGAACTTTGGCATGGTAACACTGCTTGCAAATGATCAAACACTCAACTTTCCCATTCATATGCATTGAGCTTAAAGTACAGTCGTGATGACAATAACCTGATCACAAAATGACAAAACAAAATTATCCAGACAGAACATTCAAACACAAATCATACTCCGCAACAATAAGCATAAGGGCACCCACATAGAAAAAACAAACAGCATTCACTATTAGAAGGTTGCTAATTTTGTTGCAAAAATGTAGATATTTTACTCAGTTGCCTTTATCTCCCACATTTTCATTTTTTACACACGGAAATAAATGGGTTTGGATGACTATCCGGTTGACCCAATAAGGAACAGATATATGCTTATCACTTTCAGCCCAAGTAAACTATGAAATTTCAGAAGCAACTGCCTGTAGGTGATCACCAATTAATATCCTTTTCCCCTGACTCCAAATTTTCAAAGAAAGAAACAAATTCACTGTCAGAATAAACCATAGGGACAAGTTTCCCATGGCCCAAGACTGCTGATAAATCAGTCAATTGCTAGAAGAGTCACAAGAAAGTTATAAGACAGTTTCAGATTTCAGATTTTATCTCTTGCCACTCATGAAGCTACTAACAAATTGCTGCTTAGATTCATTTATCATGCAGCTCTTGATAAATTTTTATATTTAAAGCCCACCAATACTATTAAACAGGATAGGATAATCACATATATGATGCAACGTTAGCATGAAATTCTCACAATGGTATTATTTATCTGATGAAACTATTTCACAACAAAATCACTTCCTTCACCGAAAAATGTAAACCTAAACCAAAAATTACTGGCAGCACATCCCTCAAACATACATAGTGCAAACTTCCTGTAATGTTGCATGGAAAATTAACATACAATGAAAATATTCAAAGTCAATTACGCACATACAAACAAATAAAGAACTATAAATAATGGGGAGACCCTACCCAGGCCACCTTTCTCCTAGATTACCTATAAAAGGATGGCTTGTATTTTTCAGTTTATAAGTTAATTGCAAAAATAATAAGTACAACTGGAATATGCAAAAAAAAATTAGGCAGGCAGGCTAGCAAGTTACATGAATTTATGAACTTAATTCTCATAGATAGATGCTGAAAAATATTAGAAAAGATAACTTTAGGAACCCCAAGATAAAATTGAGGAATATTGACTTTCAGTAGAAAAGATAATTTCGAAGATGTTCTAACGAATGATTAGCATACCTTGGCAAGTCCCACACTTGACTGCATTCCTGCTTGATTGAATAAGAAAAAAGATAAATAAGCCTAAAACAAGCAGGTTGAGAAAACAGAAATTTTAATATTAACAAAAATAACACGAACAAAGTATAAGATAATTACCTCAGTAAAACATTCATTTGACATGAAGCACAATAACACTTCTCCAACTTATCTCTCTTGGATGTCAGATAAACAAATATATTCCTACGGGAAGCTTTCAACTGCCTTCTTTGTAACTCAGATAACTCACTGGAAGCCTTCTTAACTGATGGCAAAACCACATTACTCATTTTTTCCTCATATTCTTTGATCAAATATAAAGGGATGTGTGTTATAAGAAACCAATATTTCTCCTTTCTGTCTTCAGTTTGCTCGATGTCAATTATGTTCTTCATGACACGTGAAGGAAGATGCTTTTGATTTCCAAAAGCAACTCCATATTGGATCTTGTTTTCTACGGATTTCCTATCACAGATAATTGCATTTCTAAAAACAGATGCTTCTGTCTCTGTACCTTTTCCATCTGGAATGTTATGCTCAGGACGTACAAGATCATTCCATCGCACATGAAGGTCTAGGTATCTAACCTGGTCCAAAGTCCAGTTCAATTTTGTTAGACTTCCTGATAATCAAGTATGATGTACACAGAGAATATTGCCAGGAATGGTTCATTCAAACATAGTAATTTAATGACAAACCTGAAGTGCAAGCTGCGCAGCATTCTTACTTCTTTCAACCGCAGCTCTCCAAATTAATTGTCTGCTTCTTTTAGGAATCTCGGAATCATCAACATAATTAATACCAGAAATCTTTCTCACGCCACCTAATAAGTCATAAAACAATAACTCCGTTAGTTTCTTCACTTTCACCAATTTTACTATTATAAAGTTGAAAACTGAACTTTGTGTATCCCATAGACACCAAAGATACCTTGTTGTGCTGCTTTTCTAACCATTGAGCCAGGCAAAATGGCTTTCTGGAATATATGAGTTGATAACTTCCCGCCACGCCACCAATCAAAACTTTTATCGTCACAGTCGTCAGCTGTAACTTCAGATGCAACAGACTGTTTCCTACGCCGCCTTCCACCTGGTCCACGTTTCTGTAGCAATCCCACAGTGGATGAAGTGCTTTGAATCACAGAAGATTCTACTAACCAATCATCCATTAGCTTGATCCAGTCCACCGAAAGAGCAATAACGGAGATGTTTTCCTCAAGCTGAAAATGGAAACCATAAACCACATCAACCAAAATATAGAGAATATATGCACGATGATAAATCCATAATGGTAACCGATATATCTAGTACATCTGGAACAAGTAACGAGAACAGCAAATGGCATCTCATCAAATTATACGCATTAGCTTACTACTTCAAATAAGTTACAAGGACACAAGGGTTGCAAAAAGTTCTAAATTAGTAATTGAGAGATGGAAACCAAAGGATGCTATATAAATATTTTAACAACCAAAGACAAATGGAGACAAAGTGATATAGCAGGAAAGGAAGAGGAAGCAAAACAATTAATATGTCTATGGCCTTCCTAAACTATAAGTCATTAAGAAGTGGGTAAGAGTAAGGACAGAGGCTAACTGCAAACCAAGCACGTTCTGCAAAGAAGAACTGAATGATAACAATTGTAGAAACTATCATGGTTCTCATAACCTATTAATCCAAAGTTTAAGTTAGTAAGAAACCAACTATAAATTGGTTAAAGAACATGATAAATCTAACAATCTACAGGTAAACAACCTCACACCTACCACATCGGTTAAAGTCCTAAAATAATCCAAATTTAAAGTAAAACCTAAAGAAAAAATTGGGAAAAAAACTTTATGTAAAGGTGACAAAAGTTCAGGCTGACAGTATGCCAGAAAATCTTGACCACAAAAAATTGGGGGAAATCAAGATAAAGTGCTACAGCAGATAAGTGAGAAGGAAATTAATGAAAATATTTGTACAACTCACTTCAAGCAAGAGGGCTTTTATTGCACTACATGTTGAAGCTTCTTCCATTTTTGAACGCCATTGTTTCCGATAACTTGGGCTTAAGAATGGGCCAGTTACAAAACCACGTAAACCCTCCTCCATGTATAAAATATATGTCGCAATACTAGGAAGACTACCCTCTCCATTCTTTAAAATAGGAAGGCCCATCAGGATCTTATTGGCACTTCTAGTGGCAGTGGAGACAGCAGAGTTTAACATGCATCCTCTCCTGCTTGATGCAGGGGCCTTGCAAGAATAACACCAGCCACACCTTTCCCTTGGAACATCCAACAACTTCTTTTCAGCACTTGGCCAGAAAAATCGTGAGGCTGCCAATGAGAAAGCTTTTACTTGCAAGAAAATGTTACTTGTAGATGCAACTTTTCTGGCACTGCCTGATTTGTTTAGCTCAGAAACCTGACTTTCCTCTGATGAAAGAACAGCCAGCTTAGCAGATGCAATAGCAGCAAAATGCCCATGAATATAGTGATTTACATAAACATGTGGTTTAAAAGAAATCCCCTTGTATGTGTAATCAACTGTTGAATTTCTTGCATTGCTTGCAATACCAACATGATTTCCTGCTATGCTCTGGCAGAACATATTTGCGTGAAAATAGATACCATTTGCTGGTCCACCATAACTGTCACTACTGTTTCCTCCTGAGGCACATGAATGATGATCTATCACACTTGATCTGTCAACTAAGCTTTGGTGGGTAACATCAGATGCAGCTTGCTGGCTAGCTGAAGCAGCAGACATGGCAGACTCAATATAAATTTGCTCAGATAGCTTCTTATTCATTGGAGGATGATCCTTCCCTCCCATTGTCCCAACATTACTCAGAGAACCAGGAAGGTCAGTTTGGTTCATCGCATCCACAGAAGAATCTGGACAGGAAACTCCCACATTGCTTCCACTGAAACTAATTGCATTCTCAGCATCAACTGAATCCAAAAATTTGTGACTTTCCTTTCCAGAAGGCAGAGGTGATCTACTAGAAATTTTTGCATCTTCCTTTCTATTTGCTACATTGCCACCCATTTCAAGTGGAGAGAATAGATTTTCTGGGATATTCCAATAGTGTATAATGGCTTTGCATATATCAAAGTATAATGTTTTATGTTGAATGGATGAAAAAAGCGCCCGGAGGACTTTTGGAATGTCATTCAGATTGTAGTATCTGAGATATGATTCAGTGTCAAGGGAAGCCTTAAGCCTGCAATTATCAATTTGAAATTGTGAATAAAATTTAGAAACAGTGAATAGCTAATCCTAACCAGAAAAGGAGGCATCAGAGAGGAACTTAAGTCAAAGGATGGAAGAACATGAACAAGCAACTTAACATGATGAAACACTTTTCAAATATGCTGACAGTTAAATAATAGAACAAAAAATAATCACAGAACAATTTCAAGTCACAGACAAGAATGTGTTGACCTGAGCTTGACAAACAGGAAATATTACTAGTGTAGAAAAGTGGAATAAGAAATAGGAGGTTTAAAAGCTTACACCAGCAAGTGATTACAACTACCCAAGAAGACTTGCCCATATAAATCAACACCAAAAAGTTCTGCTCCTCTAAGGGATGTGTTTACTGTAATTGCTGGTCCCATTTTATCAATTGCACATTCTGGACAATACCAGGGCCCTTCAGGTATATACATTTTCATGACCCCTATACATCTCGAATGATATGCCGATGGACACCCATCACAACAAAGTAATGTCCCATCCATGCCACAAAGACGGCACTCATCACTATTGCCATCCACATCAGCATCAACACCAGCATTCCCTTCAGCACTTCTGAAACCCAAAGAATATGTTCTAGAAGATGACTTGACCTCATGGCTTTCTGCAATGATCTCCATTGCCTCTCTCTCCTTGCATGCTGAAGTTTTAGAATATCTAGGATGAACCCTTCTAGGCCCATTTTCAGGAGGATCAATCACAACCGCATCAGGATCTGTTCCCACTTCTGTTGCCTCACGCATGTCAATTTCAGCTCTCAGCTCTGCATATTCCAATACGTCATCACATAAGAGTTGTAGAATCATCAACTTTCTGGTCACAGGCAAGGAATAGTACTCTCTCTCAGAGACATCTTCATAAAATCCTTTCCACTCAGGTCCTCTAGCATATCCCATTACCATAAAATACTGGACCAAATAAACAGGCCAAGTCAGTGTATCGAGCAAGCTCCAATCAAGGCACCTGCAGATAAAGAATGTAACAATTATTTTTTAAATTTCTATAGATGAATTAAGCAAGCATGTTATTTCCTTTTTTTTTTTTTGAAGGAGGAGAAGGGTGTTGGGATTGGCGCTGGGTATTATGATGCCTTGAAGTCCAAACATCTGTTCTGTTTTAAGGAGAGATCAAAGCCACACTTGGTTGGTTTAAAAATGGGAGGAAAAAGTGTAACAATCATATTATTATAAGAATCTGGCAGTTTCATCACCCAAAAGCACGAGGATTGGAAACAAATGCTGATTTTCTTTCGATTCTTAAGGGCTAAAGGTCCACCTCACGTTAACAAGAAAAATAACAGTATAGTAGATCATGGAGAAAAATATTTTGCCATAAAAAATCCGAATCACAAAACCATCAAGTAATTAAAACAATGATACTAAACCTAATTACCAAATGATGTGTGAAAATGTATACACATACCTCAAGCATTTTGATGCGAGCTCTAAGCCTTCTGAAGAGACTGTTTCAAAATGATAACTCAATGCCCGCATCAAAGCAACATGAATGGCATCCAATAACGGGTTTGGACCCGAGAAATTCAAAGACCCCACAAAATCATCCAACCCAAACGGGCTCAAAAACAAAATGATGCTAAACGACCTTAAAAAACCATACACAGAAAACAGATGAGAAACACACTGCTCTGGCACACCAATTGTTCCTGAAGAAGGAGGCAACATTGGGGGTGGAACAACAGGCACCTCAGCCTCCAAGGACAAATATCTATCGCGTGCATGCTCACAGGAATCACTTGAAGAATCCGCATCATCTTCAAGCTGCTCCCCATCATCATTCTCGACTGTCATTCCACCACTCAACTCACTTAAAGCCGATGTTTCCACACCGTCAACCTCATTTTTCAAAACTTCCACTTTCTTCTTTTCCTCCTCCAACTCACTCTGCTTCTTTACAATCCTGCTTAACACTAATTCATCTAATCTAACTTTTCTTCTACTCAAATCATCATCAAAATATGACTCTTCTAAAATCAATTCGCGAAGCTCCCCACTTTCCAGATCCTCAAAATCACCATCCTCATAATCTACTCTATACAAACCTGTATCATAGGAAACAATCTTCCCTAAAAAAACATTTTCCCCAAATTCTTTCAACACATATCGACCTACGAGGGCCATGGATCTTGTCACCAATGCCCGCCTTTTAGTTTTGGAATTATTAGATTTCGAATCACCAGCGGCACTTTCATTTTCTTCTTCCGGTCTTCTACGTTTCCTCGGCCTACCTCTAGGCCTCGGTACCTTAGGCTCCATTGATCGATCGACCTAATTATAGATCGAATCGAGACCTGGATTTGATTAAACTAGTTTCCGAACAGCCACCTAGGGTTTCCAGAAAACCTACTTTTTTTCCGTAATAAGAAACCGATTCGGCTTCGTTTTTTGAGTTTTGAGTAATCTAGGGCTCGTGCAGATCCTTTCAAAGAAGTTATGAATAAAGATTAAATAAATCGACGATTTTTTAAAAAATTATTGAATGAAAATTTAATTTTGGAATAAGGAGTGAAGAGTTTAATTTTTTGAAAATAAAAGTTAATTATGAGGAAGAACCTTAGAGAGAGATACCTGGTTAGGGTTTCATAACCGCCATTGAAAATTTCTTCTGAGATTTTTGAGGTTTGGGAGAGAGATAGAGAGCCCTAATAGGAGTGAACAACGGCCTCTTTTATCTCGCGTGAGAAAGTGGTACTGACTCAGTACTCGGTTTGTGAGACAGCGATTTGAACTCGTCCGAGTTGGAGTGTGAAAATTGGAATTTTCTTGTACGGGATTTTTCTTCTTGTAGAAAATAGGTGCGATATTCTGCGGGCACCCTCACAGTAATGATTTACGAAGGATATCGACCGTCGCGATGGAATTTTTTATGCACACTTTCAATTGTTATTTTTAAAATCAGAAATAAAAATATTTAACCTTTTAGAAAAAAAATTAAAATGTACTATGCTTTTTTGTCAAATCATATTAAATATTTCTTAGTCTAACCAAACATATTAGGAATTTTTCTTCTATTTACACTTTGGTATAAATTTGATGAAGTAGAAATATAAAATAAAGCATCTTTTAAATGGATTAAAGTCAAATTGACCATTATTATATAATAGATTAATATTAACTTTTGTCATTATGTTTTTTATTTGTTGATTTTTTGTACAAATAATAATAAAATTAATGAAAAATTCCCATTTACATTAATTGAATGTTACTACTATTCTATATGTTTAAAAAAAATCAACGAAATTTAAATTATAGTAATAAAATTGAAATACCATGAAAAAATTAAATTTTAAATCATGATATAAAAATAAATATGACTTTATTCATTTTTTTAAATTATATGTTGTTGTCAAAACTTGAAATGATATTGTAAACATTTCATCATTTTTATATTTAAAGTATCTATTATTACTCATAAAAAAATAACATCAGTGACTTATCTCATAATTTGTCCAAGATTAATCCCAAATCTAATTATTGAAAATAAAAAATTTTAAATTCTTTGATGATGCAAAATTTTACTTTTTACTTACTAAAATAAAAATTTTAAACATTAAAAAATGTTAATTTTGTTATTTATGTTTTTAAAACGAAATAAAATAAAACTTTTGATGGTTTTAAAATTTGGAGGATCTAAAGAAACAATCATATTTTATGATCATTGTGATTTTAACAATAACAATTGATCAGGGTTCCATATAGGGATTGGAATAAAACCCAATTGCACGAAAAAGCCAGATACTCACGTCCATATACGATCCATTCCAGCCTTAGCACATGACCATTGCAGTGTTTACTAACGAAAATTGGTCAATAAAAAATTTAAATTAAACACTAGCTGTAAATGAGCGAATTGACTCAAGAGTATCAACGAGGCGACTCAGAGTTGTGCCGATTCGCGGATATTCTTAATGACGGGGAAGGTTAGAAAATTGTGGATTGCGCACGCTTTTGTTCTTATTCATAGGCAGCGAGTTTGGGAAAACAAAAATGGGGACACAAAATTATTATAGCAAAGATGGCGGGAAATTTTCCTTTAAGTGGCATTACCCGCCAAATATATAATTTTTTAAATCTTTGAAATTGGAAGTTTAATTAATCCGTTATTGGCAACGGTCAGGAGGATTAACGTTCAATGTTCTATGATCTAAGTTTACTAAATTGGGATAATAATATTGCACTTTTTTAATGACCAAATTCAATTATATTATTCATAGAAATCAAAGGTTATATGAGAGGGTAATTTTTTCGTATGAATTCTTTTCTTTCTTTTTTTTTTCATGTTATCATGCATAGGAATAAAATTTGATGATACATAAATCAAAGATAAAATATCTTTAAATTTTTCACAGTTGACTTAATGCAAGATCAAATGTATTTGATACATATGTATGATAATTTTGAATGAAATACCATATAGCTAAAACTCTAATCTTTTTTTTTTAAAGTAGTTATTTTATTATCATCCAATAGTTAGTATGTCATCCAACAAGTCTTAAACAAAGTTAGTCAAAGACTTTTAGTGGCATATAAACTCTAGCTTTGGTAGTTTGATTCCTTGTAGCAATTACACTTACTCCAAAGCATTTGGTAGTGCAAACACAAAAACAAAACTACCTAAACAGTTATCAATTCCTCTGGCGATCGACATAGAGCTCACACTCTCAAAAACCTACAAAAAAAGACTTCAAAAGACATCAACAACAGACCAAAAGCATAAAAAAACCACTTGTTATCTTGCAACCTCATTGACCATAAAAACAACATCCATACTAACCTTTAAAAAGACCATTGACTCAATGAACAATCAAAGCACCTGACTCAAAATTCAAACAAAATTTGCTACTTTTTGAACAAAACAATTGGAAACAAGAGTCTTGTAAGAAAAAACCAATAGCAAAACACTAAAAGACATTCCTGCATCTTATATGTAAAAGCTCGGTGCCACAATCAGAAAGAAAATCGCCCTCAAGCTTGTTATTGTTAATTCATAATAGAAGTATCAAGTATGCAAAGAAGAAAGTAAAAGGTAATGGAAAACAGAGGAAGTTGGTTAATATCAATCATATCACTAATTGAGAAAAAGATACATTTATATATACATAACATGCATGATTAACACTTGTACAAGATCACCAAGTGTTTAACATAAGCATGCAAAGCTTACATGTACAAAGGACAGAAGCAATCCAGCCTATTAAGCCAGTACAACGAAACAAAATGGACACTTGTCCAATTCTTAGTTAAACAAAATAACATTCAAGCTAGTTTTTATCTCAACACTCCTCCTTAACACTTAGCTTGATAAATATTTAATTTGCTTCTTAATTCTTAAAACCTGGACAACTACAAAGGTTTAGTTAGAATATCTACAAGTTGGTCATTGGAACTACAATGCTGAATGGATATCTCTTGATTCTTCTCAGCTTCTCTCAAGGCATGGTATTTGACCTTGATATGTTTTGTTCTGCTATGAAAAATAGGATTTTTCACCATAGTTGTAGCAGACTTGTTGTCCACATACAGCTTGACTGGAGGCACATGAAGAAAACCAAGATCAATTAAAAAAAAATTTCACCCAAATAGCTTGATTTGTAGCTATAGTTGCTACTATGTACTCTACTTCTGCAGCGGATTAAGCAGTAGTCCCTTACTTCTTTGAATTCCAACAAAAGGCACCATTTCCAAGTGTAAACACATATCCAAAAGTGCTTTTACAGTCATCCACACATCCTACCCAGTCACTATCCGAGAACCTAACTCAATTGACTTTGCATCAGAATAAGTGAACTGAAGACCAAGATTAGCAGTACCTCTTAAATATTTAAGCACTCTTTTAGTTATTGAAAAATGCTCAGTGGTAGGTACCTGCATGAATCTAGACAAATATTTCACAACAAACATCAAGTCAAGCCTTGAAGCACAAATATAAAGCAAAGATCCTATCAAGCTTCTAAATGTTGAAGGATTTTCAAGCACAAATCCTTTATCAATTGACAGCTTTTCATGAGTAACAAGTGGAGTTCCTACAATCTTGCAATCTGACATTTTAAACTTGTCCAGAACTTCACCAATGTAATTTGATTGGGATATATAAATTCATGTATTGCTTTAAAGAATCTGTAATCCCAAAAAATAACTCATCTATCCAAGACCAGTCATTCTGAATCTGTTTTGCATGTCAAGCTTGAGTTTTGCAATTCTTTAATCATCTCCTCTTGTAACTAGCATGTCATCAACATATAATGAGATAATCAAAGGATTTTGATCACTAGTTTTCTGTATATACAAGGTAGCTTCATTACTGCTCTTCTGAAATCCTTAACTCTTTAAATAGTCATCAAACTTACAATACTAAGCACATGGTGCCTGCTTCAAACCATAGTATGCCTTATGAAGTTTGTATACCTTGTCTCAATTAGGCTCAATTTCAAAACCATAAGGTTGCTCAATGAAAATTTCTTCCTGCAAATCACCATTTAAGGAAGCAGATTTAATGTCTATATGGAATATTTTCCATCTAAACTTGGCTGATAATGCTATCAGTAATCGAATGGTATATATTCTAGCAACTGTTGTAAATGTTTCATGATAATCTACATCAGGCAGTTGAGCAAAGCCTTTGACAACAAGCCTTGCTTTATGCTTGTTCAGAGAACCATTGGAGTTCAATTTCTTTCTAAATACCCATTTCACTCTAAAAACATGATGATGTTTAGGCCTATCCACTAAGCTTCATGTCTTGTTAAGATTTGTCATGTTCACTTCCTCTTTTATAGCTTCTTTCCATTCTGGTAGCACAACAACTTTTTCAAGTGTAGCAAGCTCAGATACTGCTACATTAAAACTTTTATAAATCTCCTATAACAGTTGGGTACCTCTCATAGGAGATTCATCCTCAATCTGTTCTTTGTAAAGCATCTCATCACTGCTTACAGCTAGAAGATTAACATCTTCATTTAAAATTTTAATATGCTGCACTTGATTTTTCTCCCAGTTCCAATATACTCTTTCATCAAATGCTACATGTATGCTAACAAACACTTTACCAAACTCAATTTGATAAACTCTATAAGCTTTAGATTATTGACTGTAACTAATAAAAATTTCCATTTTTGCCTTTGGCTGCAACTTATCTCTAAGTTCTTCAGGAACATGGAAATAGCAAACGGATCTAAAGATCCTCAAATGATCCACAAAAAGCTTGATATTGTGCCAAGCTTCATAGGGAGTTTTGTTAATTACAGCTTGAGTGGTCAAGATATTCTGCAGATAAACTATAGTGTTAGCTGCTTCAGCCCAAAAGCTTTTAAGAAGCATCTTCCCAAATAGAAGCCACTTGGACATCTTCACAATTATTCTGTTCTTCCTCTCACTGACACCATTCTATTCAGGACAGTAAGGAGCTGTTAATTGATAATGAATACCCTCATTTTCCAAATAACTTGTGAACTCTGAAGAAGTATATTCTCTTCCATTATCTGTACTTAGTGTCTTGATCTTGCAACTAGATTCATTCTCCACTCTTGCTTTGAATTTCTGAAACACTAAAAACACTTTTGACTTATGCTATATAAAATAAATCCAAGTCATTCTAGACATATCATCAATGAAAATAACAAAATATTTACTTTCATTTAAAAAGGGCTTACTCATAGGTCCAG